CTTTGGGCCATCCTCGACTGCTTTCCCAGGCCACAAGCAGGGATCTATGTGGGAAGCAGGGGTGCTGGGATTAGAACTGGCGCCCATATGGGATCCTGGTGCGTTCAAGACAAGGACTTTAGCTGCTAGGCTACCGTGCTGGGTCCTCAGATGCTATTATCCCAACAACTTTCTATTTTTTCTTTTTTAAGCCAACCAACTTTCACTTAGCAAACTGTATTATGATGCCTGCTTTCTGAATGAGAGAAACTCAAGGCTAAGGAACTGCCCCCAAGCAGCCCTGAAGTTCAAACCCAGATCTGACTCCAGACCTTTGGTTTCTCTACTCTTTGCTGGATCAAACTGTCTTATTCTGCATATTTATTTTACTGTGCCAACACAGTTCAAGACTCAGTGAGGGTAACAACTCCACGGATGCTTGCAGAGAAATAAAAAGTAATCAAGCTACTGATATTATCAGCACACAATTACAGTTGAAGAACATTAGTTCTCAAAGTTGGCCTGTGGACTTCTAGGGCTTCATAAGATCAAAGCTGTTCTTATCGGGGCAGCATTGTGGCACAGTTAGTTCAAGTCTTGGCTGCTCTGCTTCCCATCCAATTTCCGGCTAATGAACTGGAGGTAGCAGATGATAGCCACTCCTGTTGGAGAGCCAGATAAAGTTCCTGGATCCCGGCTTCAGTCAGGCCTAGCTTTGGCCTTTGGGGAGTGGACTCGTGTCTCCTTTCCTTCTCTGTCATTCTGCCTCTCAAATAAATAAATTCTTTAAAAAAAAAGAGGGGGCTGACATGGTAGCATGATAAGCGAATTCTCCTCTTGCAGCACCAGTATTCCACAAGGGGCCGTTCTAGTCCAGTTTCCTGCTTATGCCCTGGGAAAGCAGTGGAGGATGATCCAAGACCTCAGAACTCTGCACACATGCGGGAATCCTGGAAAGAAGCTCTTGGCTTTGGCTCAGCTCCGCTCCAGCCACTGAGGGTATGAACCAGCAGATGGAAGATTTCTCTCTCTGTAAAACCTGCCTTCTGTAAGCAATGATGTGTCAGCTGCAGACCTTGTGAACAAACTGAAGCAGGCAACACTGTAGCAGGAGTCACCGTATACTCACCACCATCATCATCATCATTCTTTCTGAAGAGCCGATTTTACTCTGCATCACAGTACAAATGGCTGACCCTTGCAGGAGGCACCAGTGAGGGGAATTAACCTGCTGCTTCTGGAACAGAGTGTCTCGTTCAAGGCTCGGCTCCACTCTCTACTCCACTTCCTGTGAGTATGTACACCCTGGGGTGCACTATTTGGGCCCCCATCAGATGGGAGATCTGGGTTCAATTCCAGGCTCCTGGCTTTGGCCTGTCCAGTACTGAATTTGGTGGACATGTGGGAAGTAAATGCAAAGAAGATCTCTCTGTCTCTCTGCTTTTCAAATTAAGCAAATAAATAAAAACTCTGGGCCAACCTGCTGGCACTGAGGTTTAAGCTACCACGTGCAACACTGGAACCCCACATAACTGTTCTTTCAAGTCCCAGCTGATTCACCTCCAATCCAGCTCCTGCTGTTGCACCCGGGAAAGCAGCGGAAGATGGCCTTGAGTCCTGGTCACTCACATGAAACCTGCTGTGCTACAAAATGCTCGTCCTACGTCAGTCTTAACTTTTCACATAGTAAATATAAACAGGCAAAATCAAAATGAATAAAAGTTCCTTGAGATTTCATTTTTAAACTGCATGAAGAAACCAAAGCATTGCAGGCCGACACAGTAGCTTATCAAGCTAATCCTCTGCCCTGTGGTGCGATCCCATATGGACACCGACCGGTTCATGTTCCGGCTACTTCACTTCTTTTTCTTTTTTTTTTTTTTTTAAAGATTTATTTATTTTATTGGAAAGTCAGATGCACAGAGAGGAGGAGAGACAGAGAGGAAGATCTTCCGTCCAATGATTCATTTCCAAGTGAGCGCAACGGCCAGTGCTGCGCCGATCTGAAGCCAGGAGCCGAGAGCTTTTTCCAGGTCTCCCACGCGGGTGCAGGGTCCCAAGGCTTTGGGCCGTCCTCGACTGCTTTCCCAGGGCACAAGCAGAGAGCTGGATGGGATGTGGAGCTGCCAGGATTAGAACCGGCACCCATATGGGATCCTGGCGTGTTCAAGGAGAGGACCTTAACCATTACGCTATTGTGCTGGTCCCTACTTTATTTCTGATTCAGCCCTCTGCTTATGGCCTGCGAAGGTAGCAGAGAATGGTTGAAGTCTTTGGGCTCTACACCTATTTGGAAGCCTGGAGAGAAGCTGCTTGTTCCCAGCTTTGTATGAGCTCAGCTCTGACTGTTACAGCCACTTGGGAATGAACCAGTGGATGGAAGACCTTGTCTATATTTCACTGTAAACTCTACCTTTCAAGTAAGTAAATCTTAAATTAAATAAATAAAGCAATCAAGCAAAGCATTTGGAAAATAACAAATATCAAAGTAAAGAGACTGCCATCTACTGGAAACGACAGTTATGACAGCACCCACTTGGTAACATGACACAGGAAGGGTCTTGTGGAGCTCCGCTTCCTGCTAACTGGCAGGTAACATGTGACTGCTCAGCTGGGCTCCCTGCCTCCCACAGGTGAGACCTAGCTCCCTTTTCAATCTGGTGCAACCCCAGCTTGGAGGACATCTGGAGGGTGAATTAGCAGACAGGAGATCTCTCAATCTTTAGAAACCTGGAGAGCAGTATTGTGGGTGTGTGGCGTGGGTATCCCCCAGGAAGGCTGCTTCATATTCCAGGTGCTCCTCCTCCCTGCTGCGATGCCTGAGAAAGCAGAGGGGGGTGGCCCAAGTGCTTGGGTCCCTGCATCCATGTGGGAGACCCAGAAGAAGCTCCTGACTTTTGGCTTTGGCAAGGCCTAGCTGTAGCCATGGCAGCTATTTCAGAGGTGAACCAGCCAATGTGAAAGCCACTTTGTTTCTCTGTAACTCTTTCAATTCAACAAGTAATTCCTCAAAACAAAAGCCAAAGACCTTCAGAAATTTAATGTAGAAATATTTTAAATAAAAGTTTAGAATGCAAACCAAAAAGGTCTAGTAAATATCAATTAAAACAAGACTTGAATATATCAGAAAGTTCTGGGTGTGAGTACAGGTTGCTGCCTGCAGGCATTCTGCCATAGTTGCAGGCGGATGTCAGGGCCAGGGCCAAGACAGAGGTATCCAGATGCCCCTCCTGGGGTCATCTCATTACTGAAGAGGGCATGAGATCCGGGTGGGGGGCCACTGGCAGCCCTGGGCACAGCAGGACAGCCACGTTGGGAAAAGCCCTCCCCATCCACACTCTAAGAGAACTAAGTCAAGTAACACTGAGGGCTCCCTAGTAAGAGGAGAAAAAATCTTATTCTGCTCCAAGACTCAACCCTCAAATGACCGAATGAGGCACAGAAGGCCATCCGTCAAGCAACAAGTCTAAAATGACAGGTAGCCCGACCTTAATATGGGATAGGGAAGGGGAGGCACGGGCATGCTCACCACCTCCCCACTGTGCCACGCATGCACACCTGCTGTTCTTGACTAACTGCTCCCCAAAGCAGTCAAGCCTGTGTCTTATCCACATGGTCTCCCCATCCCCAGGAGGCATGGCATTGCTGCGGACCTGCTGGCTGAACCACAGTACTTGAGAAGTGACGGGTAAAGGTTTATACCCTGCTCTCCTGCCAACTTCCCCAGGAGGCCTTTGAGCTTTCGGCAAAAGCCACTATGGCACAAACAGCTCCAGCAGAGCCTCCTCCCACCCTCATCGGACCACCCCGGCTTGCTTTTATGCGCAGGCTCTGAGGCCTGTCCGCCCAAAGTCCTGTAACAGAAGACTGTCCCTGCTGGTCCCTGAGACCACTGCCACCTGAAACTTGAGCAGAGCTCTGCTGCCAGCACTGGCCCAGCACTTGGGACTGCCCACGTCCTCTAGTAGTGAGGCTCGCACCAGTCCACCCTCTGCGTGCCTCCCTCAGCAGAGCGGCCTGCGCTCAACTTCTGCGGTTCATGTTTTTCTGTCCTGCATGCTGATCCAAAACTTTCCTTGTTTGTATCACCCACAGCCCCTCAGGGATTTATCGCAATGGCTGCACACAAGTCCATCTCACTACAGAACCAGTTCATACAGAATAACTCACTCTGTTTTCTGGGTATACTACTGCTTTAGGAAATCAGACAGTATTTCCTTAAATCCTACCAGGTCACCTTGGAGGCGTGAACTTACTTCAAGGCAGTTCTTAATTACGAAACTTGTTCCCTAGTTTCCAAGTCCAGGGTAATGAAATTAGCCTTTCTCTTTGAGGGAAAAAAAAATGTGCCATAAAGAACAATTCTTCAAAAGGTCCATTTTTAGTGACAGGGGCACAGGGCAACAGCTCAACCAACACAAGGCCCTCACTATCACCACAAAGGGTCATCGTGGAAAGCACGAGGCTGTGTTAGAGGAAACCATGGCTAATGTTGGCCACGCTGTTTCAGAAAAGACCAATACACAGCTTGCACCAGCGTGGGAGGGCACACCCCTGGGACGGCAAGGGTTAGGCTGAGTCATCCCACAGCTGGTAAGTGGCCCCACTTTAGTCAGGCCCTTTATGGCCCTCCTACAGGTCTCCCAGACCCTCCGAGAAGTCTATAGAGACCCCCCACATACACAAGGTGGACCTTGTGTCTTCCTGATTCCAGAAACATCTCCATGTCTGACCCAGTGACCCCACCAAGCCACCACCCGGGGGGTAGAAAGCAAGTTGCTTACTAGACTAAGAACTCTTGGTCCAACTTACAAGGTCACAAGGTTGGAAGTGAGACTAATTCAGGATTTCATCTATTCTGGTGGGCCCAGGTTCTTTGTCAAGCTGGTTTTATGCCAGAAAAGGTCCACTTGGCCACACAATGTTAGTGGAAAAGATCTTGACCAGATATGGGAACAGAGCTCTCAAGTTTAAGCTCCTTTTTTGCCTCCAGCCACCCCACCACAGGCGACACCAAATACCTTCGGGTCATCAGCCTCAGGTTTCTCAGTCTCTGACTCGTCATCTTCCTACAAGACAAAGAATTTAAAGGGTTAAGCTTGAAGAGGTGGGCCTGAGAAACCTCACATGCACCGCTAAGGGCGGAAGCAAACAGCCCCTTCACCCAGTGAGGGTCACCCCACCAAAAGTCCCTCCCCTACCACATGACCCAGAACTGGAGAGAAGAGAGGGGGAAAAGGAGGTGTTCAGGGGAGCAAAACCAAACAAGAGCAGCAGCTCAGAGTCAACAGTTGGTCTAGCGGTGTCACGGTCCACATTAACGAAAACGCCGGAGTTAAGTCACATACATAAACATGGAGCAAGATTACAACACACTTCAGAAGAGCAAGGCCAGGTCACAGGATCGAATAAGCAGTGTCTCCATGGAAATACCCATCACTGAAGACCAGGCATATGCTCTTGCCACTCCTCCTGCCTTTCACATTCACAGATGCATCAGACCTGGACCTGCCACAACATCATCCCACAGCAAAGAACTGTGACTCACACACTACTATGTCCTGGCACCTTAACTCAGCAGCATGTGCAATAACAGCCACTAGTTCAAGCAAGGCAGGTGGGACTGCTGGATAATACTCAGCCTGTCCTGAGACCCAGGTGAGCAGGTTCTGTCTGGCGTCCACAGGACTGCCACTGACCCTCCTTAGCTGGATGAAGCCCTCCTAACACAAAGCACCACGCAGGAAAGGCAGCACTGTGAGCCCATCCCTCACCAACCGTGTGAAGTCAAACAGCAGATGCTGGGCCAGCTCCCCGTCAGCTAGAGCCCCGTCACCTCCACTTCCCAACACTGCCAACATACAGCAGCCTTTGACCAAATGCTTAGGAAAACTGGTTTCTTTCAAAACTTACTTTCAACAAAGCAACACTTTAACCCAATCATCATATAGGAACCCTGATGTTACTACAAGCACCACCTGAGCGATCTGAGCACCTTTGCTATGTAAGTGTCCTGGAAGTGCCACAGTCAAAGATTTTAAGTGCAATCTTCATCACCTCCTTAAAATGAAATCAACTGCAACTGTGCCAAATAAGAAGGTGGAGCTCAGCTAAACTCAATCACATTTCAGAACATCTACACTAGGATTTGCTGAAAGGATTTTAGTAAAATATAAAAACTTTAAATATAATGAAAATCCTAAGCAAAGCAATTACTGAAAAATTTCAAAAACATAGATTACACAAATACATCAAAGCAGGGAGTTATGGATATGAAGCCAATGTGTACATACTTGAGAAAAAGTCACAAACGAAAACCCGCAAAGCTTTTCTGAACGACTTTAGTCAACTCTGAATTATTTGCAATAATGAGAGGGGCTGGAGGCATGCTCCCAAAAGAGCATAAAATACGAAACACTCTTCTTGTTTAAACTAGAAAGCATTTTAACACTAAGATTTATACATAAACATGTAACAACATTTTCTGACAAAAAGCATATAGTAAATGTATCAATGAAAACTGTCACTAAATAGCCAAACGCAATATCCAACTTCAATCTGGTACATCTCTGGACTAAGCACCAGCCTAAATTTACTTGTTTTTCCTCCACACATCTAGGTTTCGGCACCTGCTGCGCAGGTAAATGCGTATCTACTGTTTTTTCTGTTAGTGAAGACACTAGCTTCCCTATCCAGCATTTATTAAACTTCTGGCAACATCTGTAACCAAGAATCAAGGACAAGGGCTGGTATGGTGGTACAGCAAGTTAAGCTGCCATCTGTAGCAGCAGCGTTCGAGTCCCAGCTGCTCCACTTTCCATCCAGTTCCCTGCTAATGTGTCTGGGAAAGCAGTGGAAGATGGCCCAGGTGCTTGGGCACCCAGACCCACATGAAGACCTGAATGAGGCTCCTGGCTTCGGCCTGGCCCACTCCTAGCCACTGTGGCCATTTTGAGGAGTGAACCAGCAGATGGAAGAGTTCCCTAACTCTGATTTTCAAATAAATAATTAAATAACTCTTTAAAAACAAACAAACCAGAGGGCACCCTGGCAAAAACTGCCAAGCAAAATGTTAAGAAAGAAGTAGATGAAAACAGTCACTTTTCTTCCTTACCTTAATGCAAATTGAAAGACGAATGAGCCCCAACCAGGATTAAAAATAATACAGAGTTGATTTCAGTTAAAAGTGATGCACCAATTAGGGTGGAGGCAGACTACATTGTGTAGACAGAAAAAGCCAACGTAAAACACCCATTGATAGCTGGGTGAAATAGCCCACAGCTTTTCCTGTACATTTCAATTAAAGTTAATGCAAAAACGATTCAGATGAAGCAAATTTAACTTTCAAACAGAACTACTGATGGCCAGCCCAGTTTCTTCAACTGACATCAAACAAGAGGGGAGTGGGACAAGCGAGCCCTCAAAGCGGGACACTGTGGGTGCTTCAGAAAAGTTCCGAGCAGCCTGCGGGCTGGGAGCCAGACCTACCGACGGCTTGCTGTTCTCATCCTCCTCTTCTTCGTAGCCATCTTCATCTCCTCCTAGGCGAGAAAAGTCGTCCTCCCCGTAGGCGTCCGACACCAATCCACCTTTCTCCTCTGGGGGTTGGGGGGGCGGGGGGACACAGGTGAGAAAACATGAGGCAGCCTTCCAGGAACTTCCAGCATCGTCCTGGAATCTCACCTGCGTGGCCCTAGGACCAGAGTCTGCCAGCTCAGTGGATGAAATCATGTTACAGAGAATAACACTGAGTTTCAGATGGTTTCTAAGGCTTTCATTCTGCATGAAGCTCAGGGAAGCTCCCCTTCCCTACGGATCACTTGGTGGAGCTCTTTCACACTTTCCCACTCCCACAGCGGCACTTGCCAGCCTGTTTTCCCCCACACCACAGGGCCTGTTTTGGTCCCTTCATCTGTTCTCAGCACAGCACCTCTGGCATGGACACGCCAAGGGAGTGCTGATCACACCCGCTCGAGCAACAAAATCCTTTCCTACTTAGGAAAGACGAATTAAAACCAGATTTAAAAAAAGAAGAAGAAGGTACGTCTCACCGGAAATCCACCAGAGAAATTGAGTGTTACTCTCAAACTCTCCAAGCCGCTTTTCAACACGACTTGTAATTCATAATTAACGGTTACTCATTTTGACAGGACACAAGCTTTCTAACCCTCCGCGTCCGTGCTACTCATCGCTCTCCCCCTACAAATATTAAGCCCGGAGGAAACAGGTGGGGATTCGGCCGCCCTGGACAGCGCGCCCCTTTGTCCATCTCCTGCCCGGCAGCACCAAGCTCGATACAGAGGCTTCCCGTCTCAGAATATAAAGCACAATAACGGCGTCTCCTTATTACCAAGCCTCCGATGCTCTGACTCACCCGGGATTCCCGCCACGCTTCGGGGGTCTCCGGGGTCCCCGACTTGGGGTCCTCCCGCCCCGCTGAGCCGGGCAGCAGCATCCCGGACCAACACCCAGCTTCCCGCTCGGGACTCACCGGCCGCGCTGCCCACCGCTTCGACTCCCGCTTCGCCATCAGACTCGGGTTCAGAGTCTTCCGCGTAAACTGCCAGAGACGAGAGAACATTCTTCTTCCCCGCCATCTTCTTCCCACGCCGCCCCCAACCCCGTGTGGCTCACTCCTATGACTCAAAGCTGCCGACTTCCGTAAGAAAAGGCCATTTCTTCCGGATAAGAGAAGGACGCGCCAAGCTGAAAACCAATCAGAACGAAGTACTCCTGGCCCGCCCACGCAAGCTTGAAACGTCATCATGGTGCGACGGTGGGATTTTTTTTTTTTCCACCTGAGTAGGATGTGTGGCGACTCCGACTGTCAGAAGTTGAGGGTTCTCGGCGTAGAACCCGACTCGGAAAAGCCCGCCACGCCTGGGCCGCCCCCCGCCGGCCGTGTCCCACTCCGGACATCTGGGAGACCCCTGTGATCTGAATGACGGCGTCAGAGCGGGGATGCCCAGGCATGGCTTGAGGCCCTGCACCGGCAGCGTTAAACCTGAAAATCCTACTTGAGTGCCGCAGAGCAGGTTTCTCCTGAGAGGAGGGAGGGTGCTTGCGGCAGCCGGTCACCGTCTGGGCCTTCGTTTGTGGCCGCCGCTTCTCGCCACGATGAGCGCCCGTCTGCCTTCCGTCCCTTCGGACCCTGAGCGGCGAGTCCGGAGCACGTTGAAGAAGGTCTTTGGGTTTGACTCTTTTAAGACACCTTTACAGGAGAGCGCGACCATGGCTGTGGTGAAAGGTAACGCTCTCCAAATCGCTGCCTTGTCGGTGTTCCGCCAACTGGCGCCCGTAACGGATGACGGCGCCTCGAGTGGACTATTAGCTCGCAACGCCACCGCGCCCGCCCCACTCCTGGCCGCGTCGGCGCCCGACCCTTCATACTCCCCCACCCTTGACCCCACACCTGCTTCCAGAAACTTCTGGACTTGTCACCCGAAGCTTGACAACTACAGCATAGAATCACCCCGCTAGCGTTCCTTAAATGTCATACCAGAGCCACCTACAATTTTGTCTTAGAAAACAGTTTCTAGAATTTTTTTTAAATTAGTTTGTGAGGCTGAGACATCTCCCATTTGTGAGTTCACCTTCCCCCAGTGTGTGGGCCAGGCTGAAGCCAGGGGTCGGGACCTGATCACTGGGGTCCAGGGAACCAAATACTTGAGTTGCCTCCCACAGTGCCTGTTGGCAGAAAACTTTAATTGGAAGCAAAGTTAGTGCCTGAAGCCCAGCACTGTGACAGGGAAAGCAAACGTCCTGACACCTTAACCACCAAGCCAGGTGGGATGGGCTGGGGGCAGTAGTACCCTCATCCGTCATTCAACTTGTGAAGGTCAGGTGGCCTGTGTCACAGATGGGGAAGGAAGGAGCTGAAATATACTTATTTTTATTGGAAAAGCAGACTGAAAGACAGCCAGTCTGAAGCAGGAGCTTTTTCTGGATCTCCCATGCAGGTGCAGGATCCTAAGACTCTGAGCTGTCCTCCACTGCTCTTTTAGGCTACAAGTAGAGAGCTGGATGGGAATAGAAGAGTCAGAATATGAACTGGTGCCCCTGTGGGGTGCCAGTGGTTATGGGTAGAGAATCAGCCAATTAAGCTATCACGCCCAACTCAAGAGCCAAAGTTACATTTGAAATGTGACAAATGGGGTTTGTCAAGAGGGAAATAGCACTGTAATACTTACACATTTATAAAGAAAGGCCTCGAAGTGAGGTCCTTCCTTATCGACACGTGTGTCTAGCAGGGTTCTATTTCATGGCTGTTTAATTTGAGCATCCATACCCCAGCAGATTTAAACATTTTTTAAAAGATTTTTAATTTTTACTGGAAAGTCAGATATATAGAGAGGAGGAAAGTCAGAGAGGAAGATCTTCCATCCATTGATTCATTCCCCAAGAGACAGCAATGGCCAGAGCTGCGCCGATCCGAAGCCAGGAGCCAGGAAACTCTTCTGGGTCTTCCACACGAGTGCAGTGTCCCAAGTGTTTGGGCCGTGCTTGACTGCTTTCCCAGGTCACATGCAGGGAGTTGGATGGGAAGCAGGGCTGCTGGGATTAGAACTGGATCCCATATGGGATCCTGGCGTGTGCAAGGCGAGAACTTTAAGCTAAGCTACTGGACCGGGTCCAGATTTAGACTTTTTTTTTTTAAGATTTATTTATTATTGGAAAGAGAGAATTACAGAGAAGGAGACAGAAAGATCTTTGTCTACTGATTCATTCCCCAAGTGGCTGCAACAACTAAAGACGAGCCAGTTTGAAGCCAGGAGCTTCTTCCAGGTCTCCCACCTGACTTTGGGACTCCTTTACTGCTTTCCCAGGCCACAAGCTGGGAGCTGGGGGGAAGTGGGGCAGCCGGGACACAAACCGGCACCTGCACCCATGTGGGATCCTGGTGAATGCAAGGTGAGGATTTAGCCACTGGGCCATGGTACCAGTCCCAGACTCGGACTCCTTAAAGCCTTGTTCCTGTGGCCTTTAGCAGAAGTGGTATGTGCACATCTCCCTGTCTCCCTGGATCCATGTCTTTGTTCCATAGATAGGATGGGACAGGATTGAGCGTAACTAAGCCAGTTCATTCATATGCTAGAATGTCTGCTAAGTGCTTTTGCTGTATTTCCATTAAAGATTTTTCCAGGAGCATTGAGATATCTTCTGGTGTTTTTGCAGGTGACAAGGATGTATTTGTGTGCATGCCCACAGGGGCAGGAAAATCCCTCTGCTATCAGCTGCCTGCCCTGTTGGCCAAAGGCATCACTGTTGTAGTCTCTCCTCTCATTGCTTTGATTCAGGTGAGGCTTGGAGCAACGCAGACACCAGCCCAGGAGGGTTCACGAAGGTTCCAGATGGCTGGAAATTTCACTTCTGCTTTTTTTAGTCTTCTGCCGCTTACTTTCTCTGATTTGCCTATCTTGTTTTCTATATTGGGTTTCTGAATCACCCAGATGTGGAGGGATTCACAGATGGCGGTTGATGCAGCTTCAGTGTGGTGATGGCTGGGGTCCCCACCATCCTATGTCGCTTTTTTGGTACTGTGTCTGTACACACACATGCTCACGTGGACACACACCTGCACCCCGGGTTGAGTTAGGAGACAGATAGCTATGTTGACTTGAAGTCCAGGTGCCTTGCTTTATTTTGATGAGGACACAGATACATGAAAAAAAAAAATGAACTAACAGTTGGGATTATACTTAAGACCTCAGATGGGCTGACAGAATTGGAATTGGAGGAGGGGAGCCATGTGGATGAGAGCCACCTGCCAGCAACAAAGTCAAGGAATGGGGTGTGGCAGTAATACTTGGTGGATGTTGGTGCTTAGTATTTGTGTTAATTGCTTTAAATACATATTTTTTATCTTTGAGATCTGAAGTTTCATTTCATTCCTCTTGGAATCCTTCTGGGTAGTTAGCCATTCTATAGCAGAAAGTGGAGGGAGTCTCAGAGTTTAAGGAATAGCCAAAGGAAGCTGGCACTGTGGCACAGCACTGTGGCGCAGCCCGGCCCCGTGGATTAAGTCATTGCTTGGCACACTGGTGTCCCATGTTGGAGCACCGGCTTGAGTCCCAGCTGCGCTGCTTCGACTTGGCTCCCTGCTCATGTGCCGGGGAAAGCAATGGATGACAGCTCAAGTCCAGGGGACCCTGCCACCCATGAGCAAGGCCAGGATGGAGTTCCCAGCTCTCGGCTTTTTCCTGGCCCAGCTCTGGTCATTGGAACAGTCAGGGGAGTGAGCCAGTGGATGGAAGATCTCTCTTCCTGTCTCTGTTCTGCCTTCTGCCTTTTAAATAAACATAAAATCTTTCTTGTCGTTGTTATTAAAGATTTTTTATTGGAAAGGCACATATACAGAGAGGAGGAAAGACAGAGGAAGATCTTCTATTTGTTATATATTTTTTTCTCATTAGCTTTTTTCTTTTTTTGTTTTTTTTTTGTTGTTGTTTTATTATTTATTTGGTTTTGTTAGATCTTCTATCTGCTAATTCACTCCCCAAGTGACTGCAATGGCTGGTGCTGAGCCATTCCAAAGCCAGGAGCTAGGAGCTTCTTTCGGGTCTCCCACGCGGGTGCAGGGTCCCAAGGCCTTGGGCCGTCCTCCACTGTCTTCCCAGGCCATAAGCAGGGAGCTGGATGAGAAGCGGAGCTGCCAGAAATAGAATAGGCACTGATATGGGATCCTGGTGCATGCAAGGCGAGGACCTTAGCTGCTAGGCTACCGTGCCAAGCCCTAAACATAAAATCTTAAAAAGAAATGAGGAAGGCAGCATCCGGAGAGCAGGTGGCCGTGATCGGAGCCAGGGTTAAATCCAGATCTGTCTGACTGCAGAGGCTGCCCTGTCAGACAGGTCACCTCCTTGCTGTGCAAAGAGAAGACATGAAAGACAGGGAAGGCAGCAGTGTTCCTGCCTGGGCGGTCCCCCAGGGAGTCGCTGTGACATTTGCCACCAAGTCCTGAGAGCCAATTTGGCTTTCCTCTTTTCTGTCTGCCCTCAGGACCAAGTGGACCACCTGCTGGCCCTAAAGATACGAGTGAGTTCTCTGAACTCGAAGCTCTCTGCACAGGAGAGGAAGGAGCTGCTCTCTGACCTAGCGCGGGAGAAGCCGCAGACCAAGCTTCTGTACATCACCCCGGAGATGGCAGCTTCTGCCTCCTTCCAGCCCACCTTGAACTCCCTCGTGTCACGCAACCTGCTCTCTTACTTGGTGGTGGACGAAGCTCATTGTGTTTCCCAGTGGGGACACGACTTTCGTCCTGACTACCTGCGGCTGGGGGCCCTACGCACTCGCCTAGAACACACCCCATGTGTGGCCCTGACCGCAACAGCCACGCCACAGGTCCAAGATGATGTGTTTACAGCCCTGCACCTGAAGCAGCCGGTTGCCACCTTCAGGACTCCCTGCTTCCGGGCTAACCTCTTCTATGATGTGCAGTTTAAGGAACTGATTTCTGATCCCTATGGAAACCTGAGGGATTTCTGCCTCAAGGCTCTTGGACAGAAGACTGTTAAAGGGGTGAGGAACTCCAGTGGGGCCAGGGCACTGTCTGCCACACCGTACAGGGGTGAAGCACTGAGGTGGGGCTAGGGCACTGTTTGTGGCACCATACAGGGGTGAGGAACTGAAGTGGGGCCAGGGCACTGTCTACAGTACCTTATAGGGGTGAGGAACTAACGGCGCTGTTTGTGGCACTGAATTGGAAGTTAATTTTCTAAGGCCTTAGCTTTTTTCCCCCTAGTTCACTTAGCTAGGCTTTTTAAAGCTTGTGCACAGAGAGAGTTGTCTTGTTGGGTTCTTGGCATGGTTCTCCTTGCTAGGGTTTCTTGCTTCGGGATCCTTCTGTGGATGGCAGGCCGCTGACTGTTACTTGCAAACCCACCCAAGGGTCGCTGGGAGGAGTCAGAGGAGTTAAGTACATTGGGCTCTGAGCTGGTTTGAATGTCTTTGGGCTGAGTGTGCTACCCTTTCCACGCTGTGCTCCCCATTCAGACGTTGTCCGGCTGCGGCATTGTCTACTGTCGGACCAGGGAGGCCTGTGAACAGCTGGCCATGGAGCTCAGTTGCCGGGGTGTGAACGCCAAGGCTTACCATGCAGGTAAAGGCCCATGGGCCCCCTCATCTCTCCCGGGGGCTTCTTGTGGGGCAGAGGGGGCTATATTGTTCCTTACAGAGCCGGACGATCGGGTCGTCCATTATCTGCTTCAGGTACCCAGGCAGAGCTAAAGGGATTCACTGGCATCTGTTAAAAAGCATCCTAGTCACGAATGAGGTTGAATATGGCTAATTCCTTCTCCAGGGCTGAAGGCATCTGATCGAACGTTGGTACAGAATGAGTGGATGGAGGAGAAGGTGCCTGTCATTGTTGCAACCATCAGTTTCGGGATGGGAGTGGACAAAGCCAATGTCAGGTAAGCTCTGCCTTACCTTCCTAGCTGGGCCTGGCTTGGAGTGGGCTGCCAGTCTGTCCCAAAGGATCAAGTCCAAGTGCTCCTTTCAGGCTGGAGGAAGGAGGCACCCAGAGACAGTCCCTCCCTGACACACAGTCTGAAGGCTAACAGTGCTGTGTGGCCTGCTCCCAGGGGTCCGTGTAGCACCATTCTGCTGTCCTCAAGGAAAGGGGCAGAGCCCTGCTCACTGCCCTGCTGGCAGGTGCAGCACTGGAGGGGGTAGAGTAACGGGACTGTTTCCTGTGGGAAGGCAGAGACCTTCACTCACTTCCCTTGCTTGCTCATTAGGACCTGATGAGACTCTGGAGGAGTTGGGGTGCATCCCGGCCTCCTAACGCTACCCTAACACTCCCGGGAAGTTTTTTCCTCTGGCCGTGGTCCTGCCTTGTGCTACACACTGTGGCCTTCTGCTCTAGTGAACACCAACAACACTGCCTTGTGAATTTTTTTTTTTAAGATTTATCTATTTTTGGGCCTGGTGGCGTAGACTAGCAACTAAAGTCCTCACCTTGAACATGCTGGGATCCCATATGGGTGCCAGTTCTAATCCCGGCAGCTCCACTTCCCATCCAGCTCCCTGCTTATGGCCTGGGAAAGCAGTCTAGAACGGCCCAAACACTTGGGACCCTGCACCCGTGTGGGATACCCGGAAGAAGTTCCTGGATCCTGGCTTTGGATCGGCATAGCATCGGCCGTTGCGGCCACTTGGGGAGTGAATCATCGGATGGAAGATCTTCCTCTCTGTCTCTCCTCCTCTCTGTATATCTGACTTCCCAATAAATAAATAAATCTTTTAAAAAATGTATCTATTTCTATTGCAAATTCAGCTCTTCAGGGAGAAGGAGAGAAAGAAAGAGATAAAGATCTTCCATCCACTGGTTCACTGTCCTAGTGGCCATAATGTCTGCAGCTGACCTGATCCAAACCAGGAGCCAGGATCTTTTTTCAGGTCCCCCATGCGAGAGCAAGGTCCCAAGGGCTTTGGGCCATCCTCTACTGCTTTTCCAGACCACAAGCAAGGAACTGGAAGGGAAGTGGAGCAGCCGGGATATGAAGCAGCGCCTATATGGGATCCTGGTGCGTGCACAGTGAGGACTTCAGCCACTAGGCTTACCGCACTGGGCGCACTTCGGCATGCATGGTCTTGTCGAGGCTCACCGTGACCCTGAGCTAGTCAGGATGTGAAGTGTTCATCTTTCCACATCTCAAAGGACACAGACTTCTCTACCAACTTTTGCACTGGGTCTAACTGCAGTGTCTTGGGAGGAAGCAGCTTGGAAGTTAGGCTCCTACCATGATGGTGTTCCTAGCTCTACCATCCTTCGCTGTGTAACCTTGAGCAAATTTTCTTAACTAAATCTCAAGTGCATTTTTAAATGGGCCACCTCACATAATGGTGATTGTAGGCAGTAAATAAGAGTAGTGTCTATGTTGTGTAGTTCCTCGGTGACGGGACCCAGTGTTCTTTCTTGAAGTCGGCATTGCTTGGACTCCTCCTGCAGCCTCTAGGCTGAGCTGTGCCTTGGCAGAGTAACTGCTGCTGGGCTCCAGGGCCGCAGCCTTCTTACCTGAGCTCTGTGTGTCTGTCGTCCTTTGTGTGCTGCTGTAACAAAATACCGTGGATTGAGTATTTTATGAAGGAAAGAGGTCTGCTTGGCTTACAAGCCTGAGGATTGCAAAGTCCACCTAATGTGGTGCTGGTGGCATATGCCTAGGGCCCCCACTGGCTGTGTCAGAACCACGTGGTGAAGAAGAAAGGAGGTGACCGCATGCAGATGGAGCTAAGCACGATGATCAAAACTGGCTCTATTGGGCCTGGCGCAGTGACCTGGTCGCTAAAGCCCTCGCCTTGCTGGCATAGGGATTCCATATGGGTGCCAGTTCTAATCCTGGCAGCTCCACTTCACATTCAGCTCCCTGCTTGTGGCCTGGGAAAGCAATTCAGGACGGCCCAAACACTTGGGACCCTGCACCCACATGGGAGACCCGGAAGAGGCTCTGGGATTCTGGCTTCGGATCGGCACAGCTCCAGCTGTTGCAGCCACTTGGGGAGTAGATCAATGGATGGAAGATCTTCTTGTCTGACTTTCCACCTGTCTATATATCTGACTTTTCAGTAAAAATGAAAGATAAATCTTAAAAATTTAAAAAAAAAAGCCAAAAACTGGCTCTGTCAAGAACTAACCTGACCCTGTGAGAGCTGCATTGTTCCAGAGGGCGGTAACCGTGACCTAAACGCCCTCTCTGCTTACCTCCTTAAATCTACTAGCTGACAAAGTTGTGACCGTAAGGACCAAGCTTCCAGCAAATGCCCCTGTGGAGATACATACAAACCATTTCAAGCTGTAACAGCTTCTGTTTTCAGGCTTCCTGTTCCTGGTGGCTGTGGAACAAGCCCTGCCCCATGACCATGTTCCACCGCATCTCACGCTGCTTGGCCTTTTGGGTCCTACAGGTTTGTCGCCCACTGGAATATTGCCAAGTCCATGGCTGGTTACTACCAGGAGTCGGGCCGTGCCGGCAGGGATGGGAAGCCTTCTTGGTGCCGTCTCTATTACTCTAGGAGTGACAGGGACCAAGTCAGCTTCCTGATCAGAAACGAAATAGCAAAGCTCCAGGTAAGTCCTGAAGTCTTCTCTTCTGAACTCGCTACTCCTCAGTTCGTACAGCTTGTTCCAGTCCAGAGCAGGCTTCCGGAAGCTGGCAGGTGTGCCGGGCCTGGAGGGTTAGCAAGAGGGAATTGGTGTGTGGGGAGATAGCGGGCAGCCAAATAGATTAGACTTTTCTCTTTATAAGCATTTGGTTAAGTGGCCTATCCAGTCAAAATAAATATTAACAAAAAAGATTTTACAAGCAGAAATTATAATGAAATATACTTGACTAAATCTAAATTAAAAATTTCTTTATAGTGAGAGATACTGTACATAAAGTGAAAATAAAAATGAGCCCATAAGGGAGAAGGTTTTGGAAGTGTATGTGATTGACTGACTATATGGAAAACTATAGGTGCAGAAGAAGGCAGCAAAGTATCGCTTAGTGACAGGTGTGATGAGGCCTTCCACACAGGACGAAACCAGAGTACCCACCATGAGTGGGAAGAGATGCTGCATCTCACTTAGGAGTCAGGGATTCATGCAGACGGGAAGTTAATGCCCATTAGATCGGTGGAATGCTAATTGTCTTTGTAGTTGCTACTCCTGAAGAATGTGGGGATGGGCCGTGTGAGCGCTAAATCCTCAGCTCGCAAGCGCATCTCTAGATGGACGAGTCATCATTTGTACAAAATGCACATGTCTGAGGATGGACAGCTATTTGCTGTCACATTCAACACTGAAATCTGGCTCTTCCGTAGGTTAACAGACAAGGAAGTTGTTCTAGTTGAAAGTGGAGTGATCCAGAGATAATCCGTTCCCCCTCCTGGAGCGAGCATAATGTTGTGGGCAAAAAAAAAAAAGTTATAAAAAATATAAATTCCCAAAGACAAGGAGGATGAGAGAGAAGGTAACAATAGGTCGAACTATCAATGAGTGTCAGCCTAGAGCACCCCAAGGCCCCGTTAGAAATGTGCTGGAGCTCATGAGAAAACCTGATGGTGTGGCCAAATAAAAGATTTTATTAAATCCAAAATTTGGAGCTGGCATTATTGCATAGTGGATTAAGCCATCCCCGGCAATGCCAGCATCCTGTATTACAGTACCAGCTCAAGTCCTAGCTGATTTTAATATGCAGCTAAAGAATCACTGATTTACATCGGACGGAAGATCTTCCTCTGTCTCTCCTCCTTTGTGCATCTGCCTTTCCAGTAAAAATAAATAAATCTTAAAAAAAAAACCAAACAAACACTGATTTAGTTAAAGAAACTAACATGTCATTGAAAGAAAGCTGCCCTCACAACTAAAATGAATGTCTAATAAAGTTCAAACTGGATCCCAAAAGGACTTTTTTTTTAAAGATGTAAAAGATATATCTGTTTATTTGAAAGGCAACGTTAGAGAGAGAGCTTTCGCCCCTGGATTCACTTTCCAAATGGCCCCAGTGGCCAGGGCTAAGTCAGACCAGAGCCAGGAGCTTCTTCTGGGTCTCCATGCGGGTGGCAGGGGCCCCGGCACTGAGGATAGCAGGTTAAACAGCTGTGCAGCACCCATAGGGCATCAGTTCAAGTTCTAGCTGCGCAACTTCAAGCCAGGTCCCTGCTAATGGGTCTGAGAAGGGAGCAGAGGGACTAAAAAAGTTAGTCATAGAATTTATTTTTTTAAATATTTTATTTTTATTTTATATTTTATAATGAAGTCAGACATACAGAGAGGAGGAGAGACAGAAAGGAAGATTCTCCCAGCCGATGATTCACTCCCCAAGTGACTGCAATGGCTTATCCAAAGCCAGGAACCCGGAGTCTCCTCCATGTCTTCCAAGCAGGTGCAGGGTCCCAAGGCCTTGGCCCGTCGTCCACTGCTTTCCCAGGCCACAGGCAGGGAGCGGGACTGCCAGGACCAGAACCGGCACCCATATGGGGGGTGCAAGGCGAGGCCTTTAGCTACCAGGCCACCTTGCCAGGCCCTATCATATATTATGGGCCCGGTGCAGTAGCTCCTGGCTTTGACATGGCCTACCATTGGCTGTTTTGGCCATTTTTTAGTGAAATAGGGAGAGATCGGTCCGTCTTTTTCTCTCTTTCCAATAAATAAATAAACAAACATTTTTAAAGGATAAAAGTAGAACCTGACATCTTTAGCTTCTATGGAAATGGATGGTTTAGTTTATGACACCTTCAAGTTTAAATAATTGCAAAAAACCAAAGGCACTGTTTCAAAGGAAACAAAGTTGCCCAAGATAGGAAGTGTAATTCTGACAAGTTAAAACGTCATTTTGTGGTTTAGCTATAAACATTGTTAACATTGTCATATAAGGAAAATGTTGATTTCATAAGAAATTACACTATGAGTAAATTAAGAGATTAAAATTGGAGGTGGTGTGTCTTGGGTGGGAGAGATAAGGCCCCTTCCAAAAGCAGAAAACTCTATGGATGTCTCAAATATCACTGTCTATTTTCTTTACCTCTATATTTTTTAAATTTACATTTTTCAAAGGAAAATTTGGCAAATACACATGCACATAAAGCTAGCAATATGTAATTTTGCTGCTCGGGCAGAATGGCTGTGCCTGCTGCAGTGCAGATGCATAGATGTGGGCACAAGTGCCCTCCTCCTGCACGTGTCTGCTGCTGAGCTTGATCATTGTGCCCTCTGCAGCCCTCTCCAGCCGGCCTCAAGCCCTTGCAGGGACATCAGAAGCTGCAGGTCCCTCAGTGGTCCCGGGCTCTGATGTGGGGTCAAGATTGGATACACTGTTTCTTGTTTTTTAAGGTTTATTCAAGATTTATTTTTGTTTGAGAGGCAAAGTTAGAGGGAGACAGATCCACTGGCTCACTCCCCAGATGGCTGCAATGGCTGCAGCTGAGCTGATCCAAAGTCAGGAGCCAGGAGCCTTCTCTGGGACTTGCATGTGGGTTCAGAGTTCCAAAGTGTTGGGTCATTCTTACCTGCTTTCCCAGGCCATAGCAAGGAACAATGGGGAAGCTCTTCCATGAACTGGTGTCCATATGGGATGCAGACCACAGCCAGAGATTTAACCTACCATGTTAAGGCACTAGCCCCAAGATGTACTTATTTATTTATTTACTTGAATGCAGAGAGAGATCTCCCATGCTTGGATTCACTCCCCAAACGGCTTCATTGGGCAAGGCTGGGCTAGGCTGCAACCAAGAGTCTGGAGCTTCTCTTGGTCTCCCACATGAGTGGCAGGGCCCCCAAGTGCTCGGTTTATCTTTTGCTGTTTTCCCAGGCACATTTGCTGGAATGGAAGCGGAGCAGCTGAAACATGACTGGGGTTTATAGTGTTTTATAAGTGACTTTTTAAAAATTTATTTGTATTAAAGAGGCAGACTTACAAAAATAAGCAGAGGCAGAAATAGCAATCTTCCATCTTCTGGTTCACTCCTCCAATGGCCACAGTGGCCAGAGCTGAGCCAATCCAAAACCAGGAGCCAGCTTTATCTGGTCTCCCATGCGGGTGCAGAGTCCCAAGGCTTTGGGCCGTCCTCTACTGCTTTCCCAGGCCACAAGCAGGGAGCTGGATGGGAAGTGGAGCACCCAAGACATGAACTAGTGCCCATATGAGATTCTGGCTTATTAAGGCAAGGTATAGCCACTTAACCATCACACCAGCCCCTCTAAATGACTTTCTGTAGTTTCACACCTCCTCCTTCATTACTTTTGCTGCTACAGATTAGTCCATTTCTGGTCTTGCTAAGTGGATGTGTTTTTCTCCAGGAGAAGAGAGGGCACAAAGCATCTGACAAAGCCACACTCTTGGCCTTTGACGCCCTGGTGACCTTCTGTGAAGAACTGGGGTGAGTTTTGTACAGGGAATCCATTTCCACCCTCAGCATCAGTTGGCCAGTCCATCTAAGGCAGCGTTGGGATACTCCAGGGAATCTTAGCTGTGAAGGTCATGGAGGCCTAGACCTCCTTCTTCCCTTTTGGAGACCCTAGAAACTCTGGCAGTGGAAGGATTTGTTCAGCATCCGTCCCTCCACTCCCCTCCCTTCTGGGATGGGTGGTCCCATGGGGGACCCAGTTCTGAGCCACTGGCAGTGTGATCATCATGTGTCAGTGAGCTGGGACTTCTGGCTTCTCGAGTATTGTCCCCGCTTTGCCAGAGAGCAAGCATCAGGAGACCCAACTTAACTGTGTGTGTGTGTGCATGTGTGTGGTGTGCTTTGAGAGAAATCAGCCTCCTGACGGAACACCAGCCTGTGCACAGGGAACCCATGTAGCTGCTCTGTCTGTGCCAGTGGCCAGGGCCATGGAGAGAGCCAGTGACTGTTAAGTGAGGCAGGCCTAGCTGGGTATGCGTGCTGGGAGAGCCCATGGATGGCTGCTCAGGTGGATTCTGTATGCTTTGGTCTGAGGAGCTGTTTGACTCATCACCCTATCACAAAAGGGTCCTGTGAGGGATTTTGCAGGTGTGATTGCGTCAGACTGAGGAACCAACTACGCCCTGAAGAGACCACCGCCACAAAGCTCTTGGCATGTGAAACCACTAAATCCAGGCCCTTGGTTTTGAGTGGAGTACTTGTTCCAAATGCTCATTCCCTCTTGGTTCTTGCAAAACTAGGGTTTTGCAGCTTGATGCTGTTAAGTCATAGTGCTCGTGTCTGGCGTAGGTTTCAGGTGGTCTTCCAGAAACCAGAGGGACCCTTTTTGACACCTTGTCTGACTCTTTCATCTTTGCTAATGATGTGCTGGCTTCTAGACTTAAGCTGTTTCTAGCTGCAGACAGACATCTCTCATTTGGCCTCTGTAGTGAGACCATGCCCAGTAAAGCAGTGGGCCAAGAGCCTGAGCCACCCTCGCCCACAGCCCCAGCCCCAGGGCCCCTCTTGGCACTAAAAGCTGCTACTGCTAAATGAAGCAGCTTGGGTTCCTTATGCTGGGCCCTAATTTCTGGTGAGGACTGAAAGAATCTAGCATTCTTGCTCATTGGTGGAGTCCCCTCTGCTGGCAGAAGCCCCACTGGTTCATGTCTCTGGGGCCGTGTCTGAGCCCTGGACATACTCTGGGGGTTAATTCTGCCATAATAACCTCAAGCTGTCAAACAAGGGGACAGGGCCTCCCAGGGGCCTCTGCCTTTATTCCTGCTGATTTCAGGGAGCTAAGACTTCATTTCCTTGGTGAGATGTTGGGGTGTGTGCGGTGATCCAGCATCAGAGCCCCAGGATGCCCAGGTGCGCCTGTATTCACTTCTTCTTGGAAGGGTGGTGGACCCCAGGACTCAAAACTGGAATACAGTCTGCTGGCGCATCTGTATGGCCACTGCACTTTGCATGGATGTGTTTGTAACTGCGTAAACAGTGGGTAGCAGAGAAAAGGCTCCTCTCTTTTCAGATGTTTGCGCTTTTTCTAAGAATAGTTCTGGTTTGAGGCTGAGGTTGGAGCCACTGTTTGTGCCCATGAAGCCCACGGGTGGCCACCTGGCTATGAGGGACCAATCTTGGCAGAGGTGGGTCCATTTCTACAAAGGAAGCTGTTGAGTCTAGGGTATGTGGGGATGAGGCCGGGACCCACAGAGGAGCTAACCTGGGGGTCAGTACAGAACGAGGTGAGGGCGCGGCTGCCAGTGGTTTTTCCCTCTTTTCTCTGCACGTAGCTACTTTTACTGTGTAGTGGCAATGAAAAGGGTATTTATTCATGACCCAGCTTTCTATCTTTGAGTGTTGCAGGGAGCAGTTATTAGGTGGATAGTAAGTAACCTAGGGCCTAGGGCCTGGGCACTTGGAAAAACAGCTTTGTCTCTGGGCCTGAGTTGAATTGGTTCCTGGGAATCTCTGGGCCAGGGTAGCCCAGCCAGACATCCGAGGTGCTGGGGTTAGCACGGGGGCTGGGCATGTCTCAGACTATCTCTTCTAAGGCACGGACTTCCCACTGAACATGTTTTGAGGAAAGGGTGCCTGCTGTTTGAAGAGTAAAAGTAACAGGTGCTCCTGTCCTGGTCTGGAGGGTTAGGGAAGATCACCTGAGAGGGTAAACAATGAGATTTAAAGAACAGGAAGCAACTAAGTGGGCCAAGGGGGTAGTTGATATGAGGGAAGACAGTGGCCTGTGCTGAGGCCCTGTGGTCAGAGAACTCAGAAAATGCAGGAACTGAAAGCCATGCTGATGTTAAGAACGCAGGGGCCTGGGTGGAACAGCTGGCAAGACAGTGGGGCCAGACCACACAGGGACATGCAGACCAAGGGAGACCTTGCTAGAGATGCATGCTCTCAGGGCTACATCCAGGTAGAAAAAGAAAAACTGTCACCAATTAGCAGATTTGGAAGAGAATTTTTACTTCATCTGGTTGCTTTTGTGTCCTTCCGGTCAAGGATTTGCCCATTGTTGGCTGAGCCCTCAGCCTCCTGGAGGAGCTGCTGGTCATTGCTTCTATCCCCTGAGGCCACAGAGAAACCCTCCACCGATTCTCACAGGGACCTGGGGGCAGCAGGAGGGGGACCCAAGTGGGTCTCAGAACAGCCTCTCCATCCTGCTAGTTGGACCAACCCCTATGCCTGATGCGGTGTCTGGGCCCTTTCCTGATTGGAGAAGAAGATCCAGGGCCTTGGTCCCGGGCCTGAGGAGACGGCAGAGGCCCCCTGCCCATGTGGGCGAGCAGCTCAGTCTTCTTCATACTGGGTCTTCTCCATTGGAGGAAGTAAGCCGAACACAACCGCAAACAAGATGAGAAACAGCACTGTGGTGATGAACAAACCAATCACCACCAGCCCCCCTTGCTCCCAGGGGTTCTGCCAGAACTCGTCGTTCCACAGTTCCTTCATGTGATCCAGTGCAGCCTGGAGAGGATGATGGAGACCCTGAGCCCGGGAAGGCCCCCAGGCCCCGGCCCCGGCACTGCTGTCTGGGCGTTGCTGTCCATTACTCCCTCAGTTCAGCCTTGGCCTGGAGCACAGTGAAGGGTGCGGGCCCAGGGCAGGGTGGTGGGGATCCTGAGTTCGGGGAGCCCCATCAGGCCCCAGCCTGGGTACCGCCATCCACTCCCCCAGCTCAGCTTTGACTATGAACACAGTGAGGGGTGCAGACCCCAGGGTGGGCAAATCTTTGGACTCAGTGCCTTTAGCAGGAAACATGGGAGTTCCCTGCTCTATGGAAGCAGAGTGAGGGGGCCCAGTGGGGACCCTGGATCCTTCCCAGAGGCTGCCTCTGGGGGTTCCCCCTCTTTTGACCTGAATAGCTCCAGGGTGAGCTTGAACTTTCCCTCTTAGCCTGGAGCCCTACTCAGCTAGAACCAAATGCCCCTCTGGAGGTCCTGCCTCTGCTGTTGCTGTCCCTGTCTGAGAGCCCTTCTGAGGAGTCAGTGTAGGAACCGAGCGGCCCCAGCAGAGACCTCCATCAGCACCCATGGGGGCAGCTGAGAACAGCAGCGCCTCAGCTCCTGGATAGGAGCAGAGAAACGGGGACAAGTCCAGATGGAGAAGATGGGGCTCCTTACCTGATGGTGTGTGGTCAGCTGTCCTGGTTGTACAAGGATGATCCTCCAGGCCCTATGCTTCTTCAGGGACTGTGCATGGGAGCAGCCTCTGGGTAGCCGGGCCTGCCTCTGGGCTCCAAGAAGCAACTGTTGGGGGGAAGAAGCCAGGCAGCACTGACCAGGCACATAAACGTGGGCTAGGGCCAGTTGCCTAGCAACCACAGCTCCCTTTGCACCTTCCAAGTCTGCCCCTCAGCTGTGTTCTAGAGCCCTTTTGTGATGTCATTTGGGGGCACTCAGAACCAGATGTGTTAAGGAGCCTTCCCCAAGAGAAGTCAGATTTGTAGGGGAGTGGGGAGAATTGACTGGCCTAGGGCCTGCGCCCCAGGCCACCCATCACCTTACCTGCACGCAGCTGGGTCTTGGCCTGCCTTTCTAGAATAGAAGACCTGTCCTGGACAGAGCTGCCCCAAGCTCTGGAGCCCTGGGCCTTCTGTTCTGTGTGTCGGGTGAATGATTAACTGCAGTCCCGGCTGGCACCTCTTGGAACTGGCTCTTGGGTGCCTGTGCTTATCTCAGGGAGCCTGGCTTCCCCGGCTGCCCTTGCTGGTTGCTGCATAGTGGCCTCTGTTTGCTGTGGGGCTGCTTCCTGCCCGCAGGGCCATAGGGGAACTGGATGGAGCGAAGAAAACCTGTGCTCTGTGCTTGAAACCGGTGGCCACCGTTGGCTCCCCTGAAAGCTGGGCTTCCAGGGCCTGCCATGTCAGGGACGATGCCAGGCACTGCACATCCAGCTGTGAGATGGGAGGGGTGGCCTGCCCTTGGAAGCTGCTGCTGCTGCTTCTTCTTTTTTTTTTTTTTTAAGATTTATTTATTTTTGTTGGAAAGATTTACAGAGAGGAGGAGAGACTTAGAAAGATCTTCCTTCTACTGGTTCACTCCCAAAGTGACCACAACAGCCAGAGCTGAGCTGATCTGAAGCCAGGAGCCAGGAGCTTCTTCCCGGTCTCCCACATGGGTTCAGGGTCTCAAGGAGCTCCTTCCTGTTTTCCCAAATGGGTGCAGGGTCCCAGGGCTTTGGGCGGTCTGCTACTGCTCTTCCAGGCCACCAGGAAGGAGCTAGAAGGGAAGTGGAACAGCAGGATTAGAACTGGAACCCATTTGGGATCCACGCACATGTAAGGCTAGGACTTCAGCCACTAGGCTATTATGCTGGGCCTACCCTGGAAACTTCTAAAAGTGCCTAGGCCCAACCTTGTGCCGCTTCCATCAGGCTCTGGGGATGCAGGGCTCCAGGTTATTTTATTCTACTTTTTATTTAATATTTTAGTTATCTGAAAGGCAGAGTTATGGGGAGACATTTTCATCTGCTGAGTTCACTCCCCAAGTGGCTGCAACAACCAGGGCTAGGCCAGGCCAAAGCCAGGTGCTGGAGCCAACAGCCCATCCTGGTCTCTTATGAGGGTGGCAGGCCTAAGCACTTGGACCATCTTCTGTTGCCTTCCCATGTGCATTAATAGGAAGCCAGATTGGAAGTGGCACAGCTGGGACTTGAACCAGCACCCTTATGAAATTATAGGATGCCAGCATCACAGCAGAGGTTTAACACACTGTGCCGCATCACTGGGATCCTTGTGCTAGGTTATTTAAAATTCCTCAGGAGTAGTTGGGGTTGGTCATGGATGTGAAGCAAGAATAGTAAAGCTATTCTTAATCATTGTGGGATTAGATGGCCCCTGACTTACCTGACTTTCCACTTCTCTGTGTAAACCCTGCCAACTCATGCCCTTGGCACATTGGTGTGCCCAGCTGGCAGCTAGTCGCTAGCACGCCCTTGCTGGTCTGCTCCCTCAGTTGAGTCGGGTGCTTAGCTATGGGTCTCCAAACCTGTTTATGGTGGTTGTATTTGTTGTTGCAATTATAGACCAGGGTTTACCATCACATCAGCAAGTGAGGCAGCAATTAGGACTGCAACTCTAATGCAGGGAAGGGAATGAGGCCTCAGGCTGGAGTGCCAGCCCAGGTGTGCATAGTCCAGGCTCCACTCAAGGGCTGCCCTGTGGCTCAGAGGGAGTGACAAAGGTGGTGGTTCTGGAAACGCCCGTCTAACTACTCGGAATGACTGTAGAACCTCTCAGATGATACTCCTGTCACACAAAAGATGTGACCGTGCTGGCTAAACAGTGGGAGAGGGTGCGGACTGCACAGAGATTTTTCACACATGGATCCCTGGGGTTTCTGTCCTACTTCAAAGAAATCCAAAATCCAAAACAGATAATTCAGGAACTCACCCACACTTGGCCCTGCACTGGCCAAGAAGGGGGGCCTGGGCACTTGCCTGGTTTGCACCTTGAGATGAGCTATGGCCGAGAACAGATGGGTCTCAGTCATGGAAGTTGCCCTAACCAGTATGTTCAAGTGAGCGCCTGCCCTGTGTGTTGGCTAAGTCAGCCACACTGCCTGCTCTGGAGAGAATAGGACAGCCATGGAGCCCGGGGACGCCAGGGTTAGGGTGGCTCTGTGGGCACTCCTTGGAGAGAGAAAGTGGTAACAGGGGGCAAACAGCTTATGGGGGAATCAGGGAGCAGTGTCCCTTGGCAGAGAGAATGAACAACTTGTCCTCAAGATTTTATGATCTGGAGTTTGTATTGCCCATAAGTAAATGTCTATATGAAGCTTTTATTATAAATTGCTCAAAAATGTGAATGTTTGAAAAAACATCTGGGAGAAACTGGTGTGCTCTCTGCCAGGTTTTGCTGGAGAAAGTTTTCCCCCTGAGCCTGCATTGCCAGTGCTTTTGTTTGTTTCTTTGCCTATTTTAAAATGTATTTATTTTGAAAGAGCTACAGAGAGAGAGAAAGAAAGAGAGATCTAACTGCTAGTTTGCTGAGTCAGGAGCTCTGTCCGGGTGACAGGACCCAGACACTTGTACCAGCTTGCACTGCTTTTCCCAGTCCATTAGCAGTCCGCCAGTCAGACATGAGCTGGTACCCATGTGGGATGGGTGTCGCAGGCATCAGCTTTACTCGCTGTGCCACAGTGTCAGCCCCCTTGATTGTCGACATTAATAAGGAGTAAAATGCAGGGAAGAAAACATGCCCGCAGCATGCAGCCCGCAGCATGCAGCCCGCAGCAGCTTTGAGGAACCGAGGGCAGATGTGAGGCATTAAGATGAGGTCATCGTGCAGACCTCCTGGTTCTGCTGTGGTGGCGCAGGCAAGCCTTGGTGGCAGCCTGGGGTAAGGACAGAGAGCGGGTGGGCAGAGTCAGGCATTTCTCTCGAGTCTTCCCCTCACTGCCATCTTCAGGCATCTCAGGTCCATGCTGTTTCTTCTTTCCCTCCAAGGGAGACCCCCAGCATCCTGCCTTTGGCAGAGCTGTCCTCTCTGGGAGTGCGCCAGGCCACCACTGCGCTGGAGTGCATCTGCTTTGTCCATCTCAGTGGGACCTGGCTGTTGGGTAGCAGCCTCAGCAGGGCCCGTGTGTGCCACTCTGTTGTGGAGCAGGGTGCTGGGCATGCTCTGAGCAGGAGGGCACACTGTGGGACTCAGCCACTGTGTCCTGCCTGGCATGGAACAGGAGTGGGGGTGGTGGCGCCAGTGATCCAACTGGTCAGCCTGACTGTGCCTGGGGCTGTTCCTGTCTGCTTTCTGGGCCAGCTGGGACCCAGTGTCTTTTCGGGATGCTGCTCCATTGGAGCCTGGCCTGGGCCCTGTGCTTCCAGCTCCTCCCACCTCCCTGCCTTTGTTTCTGGGAGGGACACCTGCTTGGCACCGCTCAGAGAGCATTTTGAGATGGTTTGGGGTGTGGGCCAACCGGGAAAGGATAAGAGAATCTAAGCCTTATCTGCCCTGCTGCTTGCAGCCCTGGGTGTGGTGAGGAAGGCCCTGGAGCCAGGCCGGCTAGACACAGAGGCTGTCAGCTGGTTGAACTTATTAGGACTCAGTTTCCTCTAAAATGGGCATAATAATGGTATCTGCATCACGGAGGTGTTTGATGATGAAATGGATTCCTCTGTGTCAAAGCGCAGCAGAGCCAGAGCAGGTGCAAGCCATCAGTGAATGTCAGCTGATCAACACTGTAGTTGTTACCATGTATTAGTTTCATTATCATTATGAGGCTCATTCCTTGGTGGAGGCGCAGCATCCGTAGATTCTTGAGCTGCTTTTGTGCGGCCCCACTTCCTCTCCAGGTGTTGAGCCTAAACCTGTCAGGCAAGTCCCATGGAGAGCAGGAAGTGAAACAGGCAGTGGAGCTGCCCTCAGCCCTGCCTGCTGCCAGGGTGCCGAGTGGAGATGGCAGGGACAGTGTCCCCGAGCTCTGCCTGTGTCCTCAGGAGACAGGATTGCGGTGCCAGGCAGCTGGACCATGGGCTGCATGGGCCTGTGCAGTAAGAACACGTGCCAGCTACACTCTCCATGACTCTGGGACTTGCGGAATGGGGTGGGGTGCGGATGGACAGACAGGGTGCTGTGAGCTGGCCTGGTTGGCATTTACGAGCCTCCCTGACACACATTCCTGATGTGTAGCTGTACCTGGAACATTCTCCAGAGAACACGGGAGGGAGGAAGGGAAGGAGGGAGGGAGGGAAGTCATTTTAGCAGAATTTTTTTTTTTTTAAGATTTATTTGAAGGAGTTACAGAGATAGGGAGAAACGGAGATCTTTCTCCTACTGATTCACTCCCTAAATGGTCACAATGGCTAGAGCTGGACCAGTCCAAAGCTAAGAGCCAGGAGCTTCTTCTGGATCTCCCACATGGGTCCAGGGTCCCAAATTCTTGGGTCATTTTCTGCTGCTTTCCCAGGCCATAAGCAGGGAGCTGGATTGGAAGCGGAGCAGATAGGACTTGAAGCAGCACTCATATGGAATACCAGTGCTGCGGGTGGTAGCTTGACCCACTACCTCACAGTGCTGGCCTGACGAGAATTACTCTTCAAAATGGGTCTGTGATGCCATGTGCCCTGCTCTGTTCAGAGAACAGAATCACGGCAGTTGCTGTCTGTAGAGCTCTTCGGATGTGTCCAGAGCCATGCTGTGTGCCACACATAGGTCATCTTAGCAAACCCTCTTGACATACCCCAGAAGCAGGTGCTAGGACTTGCCTTGTCTCATGGGGGAGGTGGAGTCACACGACTGGTATGGGCAGGAGCAGGTGTGAGCCCAGTCAATGAACCCCGGGGAAATGGCCCAGAACTGGGGTGCAGATTAGAGACAATCCCAGAGCTCCAACAGCTCTTATCTGACTAGAAGTTTGGGAAGAGCCAGTGGCTCCAGTGGAGGAAACTGCCATGGCATTCCTGAGCCGGGCACCTGCCCGGGGGCAGGCAGCCTCTGTCGCTCTGTAGAGCAGGCATTTGGCAGCTGGTGCGTGACAGGAATTACAGGTGCCCTCCACTGGCTTGGTGGCATGAGCACCTGCATCGCCCTGTGCCTCACGTGCTTTTCCAGCTTTCATGGGCATGGACACCGCCCTCCTGTTGCACAGCCCAGATCTCAGGGAGTCTGATGCCACAGAAACCCTCAGCCAGCCAGCTTTCACATGGAGACAGGCAAATAACAGGCTAGGACGCTGCCTGACATGCCCCCTTCCAGCGCCCAGTGCCTCCTCTGTATGGATCAGCTGAGCCCCGAGGGTCGCTCCCCAAGGTATGGGGACCACTGCAGCTTTGCTTTGTTAAAAAGCACAGGGAGGCACAAGACCCCATGTGGTTTGTTCAGTCTAGTTTCAGGCCTGCATCTGCCTGTGTTTTCCTTGTGAAGACTCCGTTTGTCAGTGTCTAGGCACCAGGGCAGAGCCAAGCTGGGACTGGGGGGTCCTTGTCTAGAAGGGTGACGTCCACAGAGCCAGGCTGACGTTGGTCATGGCTCTAGCCGGTCCTGCAGTTTCCTCAGCGTGTCACAGGCTGCACCTGCACCCTCCTGCCTCTCCGCTCGGGGCAGCAGCAGCGCACACAGCAGTAGCTGCAGGCTAGCAGCAACAGCAGCAGGATGGTGCCTGGTGGCGAGAGAGCACAGGGGCTCAGTCAGGGGGCGGGAAAGTGAAGGACAGCTGCCCTGCTCACCGAGAAGCCCCTCACAGCCGTGCTCAGGTCTCTCCTCTCCCTGGCAGTCTGGCTTCGTGATCAGAGAGAGGCACTGACCATCCTGCAGCAGTCCCAGGGCCCTGCCCTCCTGCCCACCATGTTTCCTCTGCTGCCCCAAGCTGGGCTCTGTGGGCTGTGGGTCCCATCAGACCAGCTCCCAGCCCTGCCTGTCACTCAAGCAACAGAGTACTCAGGTAATTCCCCCCACTTTTCCTCCTCGGTCTGCTGCCACCCCTGCCAGGCCTCTGGCGGCTGCCACAGGTGGGTCTCTCCTGGATGCCCCACTTACCTGTGAAAATGACAATGATTGAGAAGGCCACGAGCTCCACAGTGTCGGCCTCAGGCAGCCTCTGCAGCTTGGCCAGCAGCCGCTCCCCCACAGAGTGCATCTCCTGTATGAAGCTGTTAGCTGCCATGTCTCACTGGGCTCCGACCAGGGCTGCCTGCTGGGCTGTGGAGGAAGGGTGAACACCTGCAGCCTCCACGGGGTTGCTCCAACACTGCCACCACCGCCGCCGTGCCAGCAATCCTCCGCCTCCCACCCACAGAACTAGTTAGTCGGGTCTCACCCTTTGCACCCCTGGTGGCTCTCCAGGGAGGCAGGGACAAGGCTGTCCTAAGCACCTGTCAGGTGACAGAGCCAGGGCAAGGGCCTGCTTGGTGGAGCTGAACCCAGTGGGGGCTGCCAGCCAACACTGAGGTCACTACGGCGTTCTGTCCGGGAGGAGGAATGTTCTCTGTCTCAAGTCAGCGCTCCTGGCTTTGGCCAGGGTGCTTCGTGTCGGCGCAGCTGCCTTGGCAACTTGTGGGTCAGTCAGAACTTGGGTGCCTCCCCCAGATCTCGGAGTGGGGCAACTGGCCTCGAGAGTCAAGCTTCATGCGCTTGTTTTCCTGTGTGGGGCAGCAGAATCTTCCTAAGAACAGATCCACACCCAGCCCACGTGAGCTGGGAGAGCAGCTGATGGGGCAGCCACCCCGAGTCCCCGGGACTCCTCACCTCTTCCCCCAGCCCAATTCCTCACGCCATGGGAGCCCTTCCAGTTTTGCCAGCTGGCCCTCCCTCTGTGGATGGCATCTGGAGTCCCAAGCTGGCTTAGCCTGACTCAGCCTGACTGGAAGAGTCCCCGCCATGCCCGCCCTGCCCTGGAGAGCCGGCAGGCCAAGTGCAAGTCGGCGTCTGGCTCACCAAGCTGTGTCTGCCTCTCCCGTGGACACAAGGGAACTGGTGCCTCCTCAGCAAGGGGTTGCAGAGAGCCAGGACTGACCCAGCCTGAACCGGTTCACCAAGGCTGGGACTCTGACGGGCCAGGGGCTCGTGCCTAACCTTTGGCTGTTGTCCCTGATCCGGCTGAGCAGTGGCTCCTTCCCTCCCCCACCCTCCCCCCCGGGACAGCTGTGGCGGGAGGCCGCTTGTTCCTGGTGCTGTGTTGTTGCATGGCTGGTTTCAGACCACCTTGAAGGTCACCTCTCCAAGCCTCTCCCCTGCACTTGGCATGCTGCCCTCCCACGCAGTGTAGCCATTGCTCGTGCACCTCCAGTGGCAAGCAGGTGCTGCCCACCAACATCCTTGCTCTTGCACAAAGCCAGGCCCCAGCTGACTTCTCATTAGTCCCACCATGGGCACTGGTCACTCAGCACCTGCAGGTTGTTCTCAACCTGACACGTTCTCCTGCTTCTCCCACGGGCTCTTTGCCAGGTGCCCCTCCTGCAGCACTGAGCGCCGGAGTGCCCCCCTTCCTCCTCTGAGGCACTGAGAAAGGCCTTCATCTCTGCTGGGCAGCCATGCTGCCTGTCTTACAGACCCTCAGGACGCCTGGGCCCCTAGTGGTGTGTGGTGAAAATGGCTGACACCTGGGCCAGTGTCGAGGTTTGGGCAGGCTTGGGCCCTGCTGGCCTCTGGGACCGTGGGCACATTTGACCCTCCCCAAACCTGAGCCTTTGGGAGTTTGTCTTCACTCCCTGGCAGTGCATAGTGTGTGTAGAGAGGATGCGTGGCAGAGGTGGGGCTAGCAGGCAGGTGGTGACCCGCGGAAAGCAGGTGACTTTCTGTCAGAAGTGGGAGGTGCCCAGGTCCCGTCCTGAGACAGCTTCTCTCACACGAGCCGGGAGGCACGGAGCCCTGGAGTGCGTTTCACTTGCTTCTGCTTTTCCACGTGGGGGAACAGGCCTAAGAGTATACGTGTCTGCCCCGCACTGACATGGCAGCCCTGTACACAAACAGCACTCCTGTTGCCCATGCTGTCTTGACGTAGAGCCCCGTCTCAGGCTTGGCCAGCATGCAGCCATCCCCATCACTTCTGGTGAATCTGGAACCCCATTTCTATAGCACACCCCTCTAATCAAGGACCGCCTTTGGTACTTGTCACTAAAGGGCCAGGATCTTGGATGTCTTGCTGACTAGGGCACAGTGCTGCCCCCCTCTGGTCAGATTCACACTTACAAGAGCAAGCCTGCGAATGGGTGGTGGGCCCCTGTGTTGTCAGAGCATCTTTGTAGCCTAGCTGTGCATCTGCGCACCCCTACTCCCCAGCCTTGCAGGGTCCGCTCACAGAGGAACAGGGGCCTTGGAGAGCAGTGTAACTCCGAAGCTGGTCGGCCTCCTCCCCGCTCCTCTGCACTTGGTCTGACTTTTACAGCCTGCTTGGCACTGTGCCCATATTACCTAATGTAGGCAAATGGAGACACTCCTTGAAAGAGGAAGTGATGGGAGACCCGTGAGCAGGGAGAAATTTTTCACTTGTATGCCACGCCCAGAGAGTGAACGAGGCGCCTGCTTGTGAGCAGGAAGTAAGACCCTGGACAGCAGGGTCAGAGCAGGGAGGGGCTAGGGCTACACTTGGGGTACAGGAAAGGTGGGGTTTAAGCTTTAACCTCTGAGCCTACTGCCCCGTGGAGGCCATGCAGTGAGAAGGTGCCTGTGGGCCCAGCTCCACTCTGGGAAATGCTAGTCTGCCCCAGCAATAGCCCTCTGACACGTGGATGGCGTCACAGCTTTGCACCCAGAGCGTCCCTCGGGAACCCCACTTGGTGGTTGGCAGCTCAGTTGACTATCTGGGCTTGGCCAGCTTTGTCTCGCCCTGGGAAGTGCCCTGGGCTGCTCACTAAGCCCTGTTCCCAAAGAACTAAAGAAGACCCTCCCTGCTTCTCACCTGAAAGTGTCACTTTAAGCCCAATCCTGTGCCAGAGCAGAAGGGTCCTGGTGGGAGGAGGAGCAAGGGACCTTGCTCTCCAAATAGTTCAGAGGCACATTCCAGCAGGCCCCCAGGCAGCCTTGGCAGTGGGCTATTTAAAGTGGGGCCAAGGGCATGCCTGGCGCCTGCTGCCTGATAAAACGTGCGGCTGTCAAGTGACCGTGTGGCATGCGCCCCAACCATTGCTCTGTATGGAGCCCTCACATTCCTGGCTGCAGGCTGCAGCTGGGAGAGGCGTTCTGGGGCCTGGCCCCTTCAGACCTTCCCCGTGCCAGAACTGGGTGAAGGAGGCAGGGAAGGCCACTGGATCTGCTGAGAATTCTGTACTCTTCTAACCTTTATCTCGGGTTCACCAACTCCTTCCAAAACTGTACATCCAGCCTGTAAGCCAGGGAAACCAAAGTCCTCCCAACCCAGGCTTCATAGGGACCTTCTGAAAGACCGCAATGGTGCCTAAGTGACAGCCAGTGCAAATGCAGCCCTCCTCAGAGCCTTTACAGGGCGCTCCCTGGCCGCAGAGGTGGAGGCTGGCAGAGCTGTGGGGACTAAACTGCCTGCCTTTGTGTGGCATCTCCTGGCACAGAGCACCCTAGGATGGAGCAGGCAGACATCCTGCAGGTCAGCAGCTGCCACTTGGTGCCAATGCTTCTCTGTTTCCTCCTTGCCCAACTGATAGTCTGGCTCTGGGCTCCCCCTGTGGAAGAGGGCAGGTAGTGTGTGCATGACAGATAAGGCCAGTGTGCTGAGGGTTGGGCCCCCAGAGCCTCTCGCCTGCCCCTTTGTGGGGGTGGGTACCAACCCACCCCAGGAGGAGCAAACAGAACAATGAGGGGGACACAGGGTATCCAGGGGCCCATCCGGATTGTGGAGATGCCCACTGCTCAGTGCCCCTCCCTGCCTGGCTCTACCTTGAAAGTTGGTGTCTGAACCTTCTTGGGGCTTGTTCGCCCAGCTTTGCACTTCCTCCCGCCGGGGACTGTCGTGGTGGTTCCTTTCTGCAGCCCCCACAGCTGGGCATCCTCCTTTGGTCCTGGCTCAGGGCTGTAGGGCCCAATCTGTGTCCTGTGCAGGCAGCGACAGGGGATCCCCTGGAAGGGGGGGAGGGTCCTCACTGTGCCCCTCCCCTGCCTGACCTGACTGCCTGCTGCCTTGGGCACAGCCACGCCTTGGTCCTCCCCTTCCCTGTTCCTCACACTTGCGACACCTCAGTGGTCAGCCTGCCCAGCCACCAGCCCGGGCTGCAGCCATGGCCTCTGCCCAGCAGGAACACTTGGCCTGGCCCCTGGCTTCCAGTCCCCTGAACCTTTGCTTTTCTTTCTTATTACATACCAGCTTGTCTGTCCTGGGGAGGACATCTCATGCCGATGGGATTTTAACCCTGGCATGAGGAAAAGCCTTGGCTCCTGGGGGTCATACCCAGCAGGCTCTCTCTCAAGGCTGCCCACGTAGCAGCCGCCACTAGCAGCCCTGGGTTCAGGGTCAGGAATGCATGCTCCTAGTTCAGCATTCAGGGCTCACTGCCGGGAAGATCCGGAGCTCACAGGGATCTAAGCGGGAGGGAATCCTGGGCCAAGGCTGAGAACACATGGCTGGGAGCTGAGCAGCCCCCGCAGAGAGGGCAACTGTTGGTCCTAATGCACCTGCCCTGGGCCCCCCTGCTGGGGGGAGAGCAGGGACAGGGAGGGCCTGGCTTTAATCCCGGGGCAAGCAGGCTCGGCTGAACGGTGGCTGTCCCTTCCCGAGGCTGGACAGACAAATCCCTCTCTTTAGCCTCTGAATAGACAGCTGAAAGTGACGCGCACAGTAAGCAAGCCCTGGGACCCTCTGCCCGCACAGCTGGGGAGGGGTGGCGTGCAGAGTGCAGTCCCCACACATATACGCACACAGCGCCTCTTCCCTCGCCTGGGATGCCAGGGAGTCACAGGAAAGTGACCAAGCATAACCCCTAAGTCCATCCAATCCAAAAAAAAAAAGACTGATCAGCAGTCACACAAGATTGCTCATCACCCGTGGGGCAGGAGAACATGGTGTCCCCTTCCCTTTGAGCCCCTTTCCCCTTCCGTGGCTGGTAGCACTTACCTGGGAGCTCAGGTACTAGGAAGCTTAGCAGGAGTATCCTCTCCCTGGCCAGGCTCCCCACCTTGCACTTCCTCCGTGGGCACTTGCTCCGCTGCTGCCCGGACTCGCTCTTCCTGCTGACAGCCAGCTGCCGCCCCAGCCTTGCTTTTCTGTTGCTGTTCCCCTGGAGATCCAAGTGTCAAGTTACCGTCGCCAGAGGGAGCCCTTGCTGGGCTAGGCCTCCGGCACCCAGCCTCTCTCTGCCCTGGAAAGTCAGCCTGTGGACAAGCTCCCTCTCCTCCCCTCCTCTTCCTCTGCCCTCCCGCTCGCCCTGTGGGCTAGGGCTGGGCTGAGCTGATCAAACAGGAGGTGGGCTTCAGTTCCCAAGCAGAGGTATCCTCCCCTCCCCAGACTCTCCCTGAGCTTAGAGAGGGTGGGGCAAAGTGGTTTAGGGCGGCTGCAGCCACACTCCCACCATGGGAGGGCCTCTTGACACATCCTGCCCTTCTGGCTACTCCCTGGCTGCTCCTTCCCTTTAGCTTCTCCCAGGAAGGAAAGTAAATTGTGGGGGAACTGCCAGGCCACCCAGGCTGTACAGCAGCAAGGCCCCTGGGGAGGCCCATTAGCACCCGGAGGTGTTTTGAGGGAGACCTTGAGACTTTCCTAGAGGCCTTGGGAGTGGTCTGCTTGCCGGGCCAGGGCCGTCCTGTCCCTCCTATCTCCTGCTGCTGGAACTGTTAGCACTCCTGGCCTGGCTGGCAGGGAGTGGGGCCAGAGGCCAGTGGCTGGGCCCTTGACATTTGGTTGGTTGTGCCACCCGGCAGACCGGGTTGCAGGGAGGGAAACCCACCCCAGGCCCGCTGTCAATGGAGCCCTTTGAGTGTGAGCACAAAACCCCAGTGAGCCAGGTTTTGGCAGTGGGGGTGAGGGGGGAGAGAAGGGGCCAACCATGTGGCCTCAGCACTGGGTGCCAAGCCTCCCAGTGGTTGGGCAAGCGGCTGTCGTAAAGGCAGACTGTACAGAGGGGACATTTGTCACATTTGTTCACTGTGGACAAAAGCAGGAGCCCTCCTGTGGCTGCCTTGGCTGTCTCAGGCCATTTTCTACACCTGTTCTGTGAGTCTACTGTGATCCCCAACCCAGGGGTCAGGGATGTCTGAGAGCCTTCTCCGGGTCCTGGCGGCTGCCCGCAGCCCTCTGCACGGCTTGGGCAGAGGCTGGTCACTGTAGGAAGGCTGCAGCAGAGACAGGGCTACACCTCCCTAGCTGTGTACTCACTACTGCCTGCATGTGGGGAGCTGCTGCCAGCCTGGTACCAGTCACCGCCAAGAGGGAAGAACCCACTAGAGGCAGGTGTAGGGCAGAGTTCCAAGGCTGGGGCAGGACCCCGTGCTGTTTTCTCCCACCCCAGGCCATGATATCAATACGTTTGAGTGTGCTCAGAGTGCAGCCTCATCTGGCATCACACGGCCGGGGACGCAGACTCCTCCAGGGCCATGGCCCAGGTGAGAGTCGTAGGCTTCTGCAGTGGATTATTGTGCCCCAGGACGTGGCCTCAGTGGGAGAGCTGGCCTCTACACAGAGCCTGGAATCTTGCCAGGGAACCCAGGTATCTGTCAGAAGGCGGGGGAGAAGCTGGAGGCCTGGGCCCAGTGGAGTAACTGGACAGAATGGAGCTCTCACCCCAGGATGCCCCTGTGTGTTACCCAACCTTCATTCACCTTGTTGTCTTCATGTATTCAGTGGGCTGAGCCAGGCAGTGTTTTTTGAGGCTGACAGGAGGAAGCACGTGAGACACGCAGCCAAGTTCAGCCAGTGTCTGGGGCTTGGGTGCATGACTGCTGCCCTGACCAGGGCCCCCAACCCCTCACCTCTGCCACACTGCCTGCTATAGGTGCCGCCACGCTGCCATTGCCAAGTACTTCGGGGATGCACCGCCTGCCTGCAGCAAAGGCTGTGACCACTGCCAGAACCCCAAAGCCGTGAAGAGGCAGCTGGATGCCCTGGAACACAGCAGCAGCTCCAGCAAGACCTGCATCGGACCCTCCAAGGGGGATGGCTTTGACCCGGAACTCTACGAGGGAGGCCGTAGGGGCTACGGGGGCTTTAGCAGGTGACGGACCCTGACTCACTGTTGACAGTCTGGCACTCCCCTGGTGCTAAAGCCAGGTGCTTTAGTGCACTCCCTGCCCTGCTGGGGCCTGGGACCCCTGAGCCACCAGGGTGTCAAGGAGGTCACTGCCCACCAGCAGTGTGAGTAGGGATGGGGAGTGGGAGGGCAGGCCAGGCCTGAGACTGCTGACCCCCCCCACTCTGCCCTCCAGGTATGACGAGGGCTCTGGCGGCAGCGGGGATGAGGGCAGAGATGAGGCCCACAAGCGGGAGTGGCATCTCTTCTATCAGAAGCAAATGCGCCTGCGCAAGGTGATGGGGGCAGGACCCGCATCCTCTCAGCACCTCCCCAGCGCTAGGGTGCCCGCCTCAGGACAGGGGGCTTCTGCCTCAGGGCAGGGGGCTTCATGGCTTTCATGTCATCTTGCAGGGCAAGGATCCCAAGCCGGAAGAATTTGTGCCCCCAGGTCAGTACAGAAATTGCTACTAGGCATGATAGAGGTGATTTGGGGCCTGGGAGACCCCAGAGAACAGGAGGTCTAGTGGAAGGACACTCTTCTTCCCCCTCCTTGTCCCACCCGGCAGATGAGGACTGTCCCCTGAAAGAGGCTGCTAGCAGGAAGATCCCCAGGCTCACTGTCAAGGTAAGGAAGGGCTGCGGCTCACCTGGCAGCCCTCTGCCCCCACAGCTGGGTAACCCACTCTCGTGAACAGGCCCGGGAGCACTGCCTAGGGCTGCTGGAGGAAGCTCTGAGCAGTAACCGCCACGCCACTGAGAGCACTGAGGGGTGAGTGGCTGGGGATGCCCGGGGCCCAGGGACACTTGCCAAGCTTCCTGGGCAGCCTCTCCCTAGAGACTTGAGACTGCTGCAGGAGGGTAAACCCTAGGGTGTCAGAGTTCCCCACCCTGAAGCCATCCCTGGGAGACTCCTGGTGGAGCACAGGCCCACCCATTGCCTTGCACTCCCTGTTCTGCAGAGCCGACCTTCTGGCCAAGGCCGTGGAGCTGGAACATGCAATGTTCCGAAACGCCAAGATGGCCAACCTGTACAAGGCCAGTGTGCTGAAGAAGGTAGGCCCCTGTGCAGGGGAGGGGCAGACAGGGCACATGTGGGCTCAGGGTAGGAACAGGCAGTCCCTTCCTACCCCAAGGGCACTGCCCCAGGAGCTGCTTACAGAGGGAGAGCCCCTTCTTCACTGGGGCAGCTGGAGGCATTTTGTGGCCAACTCCATGAGGGCTAGAATTCATCCAGTGTCGCCTCTTTCTTGCACATAGAAGAAAAAGCCAACCTGGGTCGAGCTCTCAGGAGGAGCTCGTGAGGGCCTGACTGTCCTGCCCGTTCCCATCCAGGTAGCTGAGATCCACAAGGCTTCCAAGGATGGGCAGCTCTATGACACAGGAGGCGGAGCCAAGACCTGCAGTGGCCAGGCCAAGCCCTCAGAACCCAGCGAGTATGACCTCCCAACGGCCTCCCAGGTGTACTCGGTGAGCCACAGCCTGGTGCCAAGTGAACCTGGGTCTGAAAAAGGCTCCCTGTGCCCTTTGCCCTCAGGTGGGGCCCAGCCCTGACCCTGGGGTCTCCCGGGAAGAGCCTGGAGCATCTCTGAGCCATCTGCCCTTGTGGGTGAGGCCTGAGGCCTCTCAGCCTGTCCCCCTGCCTGTTGTCCTGCTCCCCAACACCTCGCATGTGGTGCCGGGTCTCCAGCCTCCCCGTTCCTACAAGCCCCAGACCAAGGCAGCCAGAGCAGGAGCAGCCAGCCAGAGTACCCAAGGGGCGCTTGGAGTCTCAGCCTTCTCTCTTCCTCACAGTTCAAGGCCAAACGCGTGGGAGCTGGTTTCCCCAAGGGTTCCTGCCTGTTCCAGACAGCCACCGAGCTGATGGGAGAAACTTCGAAGCAAGCCCCCGGGCCTGGGCAGGGTGAAGCAGAGGAGCCCCTCCCCAGGCCCAGCCCCCGAGCATCTGGAGGCAGTGGCCTCTGTGAGGGGCCTTCCTCCAGGAAGAAGGTCAAGGGCACCTCTGGTTACTCAGCCCCTGCCAAGACCTGGGCCAACAAGAAGCAGCAGCTCCTGGCCACTGCAGCCCAAAAGGACTCTCAAGACATTGCTCGCTTCTTCCATCAGCGGGCAGGGAGCCAGGCCCCGCTCGCTTCAGCTGCGGGGGCAGCAGATGCTAGCCCCTCTTCTGAGGGGGTGCAGGACAGGGCCCTGGAGCCGTGTGCAGACGAAGACAGAACCCTGGCGTGTTTGACTGAGGAGAGACCCGGGGTGGAGCCCAGGTAGGGGCGCGAGGAGCCATGGCAGCCCTGCCATGGAATCCGCTCGCAGCGTTCCTGGCCTCCTGGGACTGGGGAGCAGTGGGCAGCTCTGAGACCTGCTCTTCCCTCTGGCCAGCACCTGCCCACTCAGAGACCAGCAGCCTGGAGCAGCCCCTCCTCCCGAGGAGACACAGATGGGCAAGAGGCCTCGACCCTGCCAGGTACCAGAGACCAAGGGGGGTGGGAGGAGGCCAGTGGCACTGCTCTGGTCAGCGGTTCTTTCCACACCCCAGTAGCAGCTGCCCTGGGCAGGAGGGAGCCTGCTGCTGAGGCCTAGCTGTCCAGTAGGAAGGGTGAGGTCAGTGAACAAGTGCACAAAGGTAACTCTGCTCCTGGCCCCACCTAGGACGAGCCAGAGAGCCAGGCACCCAAGAGGCCGTGTCCCTCTGCCAAGCACAGTGTACCAGCTGAGGCCAAAGGCAGCATCCTGGCCAGCGACCCTGCTGCCCGAGACCCCAGCCAGCCCTCAGCTCCTGGTATCTCCCTGAAGGCAGCTGCGGATGTGGTAGTCAGGTGTTTGACCCCTTTCTACAAGGAGGGCAAGTTTGCATCCAAGGTACGAGGATGGGTGGGCTCTGCCCAGCTGGGCCTGGGGGCTGGGGGAACCACGGATGCAGGAGCAGATGGGGGGCCCTGCCGAGGGTCTCTGGGCTCAGGGCCTGGAGGCTGCCCCGGCCTCTCTTCTCCCTCTGCCCTCCAGGAACTGTTCAAAGGCTTCGCCCGCCACCTCTCACACTTGCTGGCTCAGAGGCCCTGTTCCGGAAGGAGTGGTGCGTGTCTGTCGCCAGAGCTGGGGGTGCTTGGGGAGTGGGTGGTGTCTGCAGGGAGGAGCCTCACCGCCTCACGTTCCCACCCCGTCTAGTGAAACAAGAGGCCCAGGACCTCATCGAGCTGTTCTTCCACAACCGGAGTCGGTGCGAGAGTGCAGTGGACTGGCACGGCCTGTTTGCGCCACAGAGCTGACCCCGCTGCCGGCTGTGCAGAGCCTGCACCCACCCAGACTCTGCCATGTGCCAGCCTGGGCCTTCCCAATGAGCTGGGGGGGACTAGGCAGGTTCACTGGTGCCAAGGGCTCATACTTCTCAGGGTCTTTCCCCTGTCCCACCACAGCTGGCTTTGGGATGGCCCCAGATGCTTCCCAAGTCAAGTCAGAAGACAGAGGTCAGCTGGCCTTCCTGCCTGCAAAGCCCAACCCCAGCCTCTCCCAGGCCCCAGGGCACGGGTCTCTGCCCAGACACCCAGGCTCAAAGGCGTTGGCCAGTGTGGCTGCTCTAGCTCTTGTTGGAGACGAGAACCAGCGCAAGGCCCACCTGCCCAAGCTGTTGGAGCCTACTCGGGGAGCCCTTGCCAGCACCACTTCCCTGAGATGCCAGCCTTGCCCCGGGCTCAGAGCTGGCAGGAAGACGGACAGCAGCCAGGCCTGGCTCCTGGGCACAGAGGCCAGGCCCCCTGAGATGTTTGCAAGAATAAAATCCTGTGTGTCCAGATAAACAGATGCACACAGAAATACACATACAACCCTTTGCTCTCAGGAGTTTTATTTCCTCAGCAGCTGCGTCCCCCAAACCTGGGTTCATGCTAGCAGGGAGCTTGGGCAGGCCCCGGCGCCGGGAGCTCACCCTTGAGTGAGTCCAGCTTCTGCCTGCCTTCCAGTTGCCATCACTGCAGTAGCCCCTACCCCCATGGTTTCCACTCGGGCTGCTGGATTCCAGAACAGAGGCAAGGGATAAAGTCCGAAGCAGATGACCTGACGGCACCATGGCCGACTCCGGCCATAAAAGGCCTCTTCCTCCCCTCATTGGAGGCCGGGCCACTGGGCCATGGACGTGCAGCCGTCCAGCAGGAAGACAATGGTGTACATCAGCTCCTGGGCCTGCAGGAGGGAACACATTACGGGGGCAATGCTGCCAGCCCTCCCACCCCTCCCTACCCCATCAGTCCTGAGCACGGCCCATGGGCCGGAGCTCCTGCCTGCACCAGGGTCCATGGGCCCAGGGTGGCCACTCACCTGCGGCAGCTCAAACCAGATGGTCTGGGGGCTGTCCACTGAGCCATAATTGATTTCCAGACCAGGGGGGGCCCCCTTCTCCATCGGACTCAGCAGGTGGAGCTGCTGCAGGTCCTTCAGGGCGATGGAGATGTATGTTTTCTGGGGGCGGCAGAGAAAAGGCTGTGGCTCCTCTGGAAGGCGGGCCCTCAGGGTGACAGGGAGGGCCTGAGCTCCAAGGGCCTTGCCTGCCTACCTGGGAGCTGGGGTCCATCAGGAGGAGGTGCTGGCGGCTGAGCCCCAGCAGTGCGGGTCTAGTCAGGGACTGCGTGCTCGTTCGCATCACCACATAGACAGTGTAGCCGAAGAGGGGCAGCTGGCTTGTGGCCTCTGGTGGGGGAGTGGGGACCAGGCAGGAGTCCTGACCTCTGGGAGCCACCCTCCTGAGCACCACCCGGGGGGGAGTCATGCCTGACACAGAAGCCATCTCAGCCCCGCCCTGCACCCAGCAGCCCCGCCTCAGACGCACTGATGAAGCTGATCTGAGCGTCCTGAGCGCTGTGTCCCTGCAGCTCCTTCAGCTCCTGTCCCAGCAGGCTCCTTATGGTGGTCATGTCCACCTGCCAGTGCAACATCTTCGGGATGTAGGTCAGCAGCTGTTGCCTAAGATATATAGCCTGGCTTAGTTCCACCCATGGGCACTGACCTCCTGGTGCAGAGCTGGGCAGGCAGCTGGTGCCAGATAACCAAGTGGGGACCCATGCACATGAGGGAGCCTGGGGTAGGATGGAAGGGACAGGTGGCTTTGACCTTGTTGGGGGCCATGGGCTGCAGGACAGGCTCTAGGGTGAGTGCTGAGGAGGGATAAGGAATGATGGGAAATGCAGGGAGCTGAGCTCTCACATACTCTGAAGGAGGGTTCTTGTCGCCCTTGCCCACGAGCTGGAGGGCAGCCAGCCTAGCCAGGTGGGCATCTGCCTGGGCACTGAGTACCAGTTTCCCCTGGAGATAGTCGCGCAGCACCTGAGAGGGGAAGACTGAGTTGGCGGCCTCAGATACCCCTTACCCACTTCTCCCCTTACCCCCACCTGCCTATGTCCAGCTACCACCTTCCCATATCCTGTGTGGCATAGGCGTCACCCCGTCGGATGCGGGCTAACCTGGCTGAAGTGGGTGCTGATGTAGATGGAGTTGTCGAAGTGCAGTGGGGTCTCCCAGCAGAGCCGCCGGCTGTGCAGGCTCACCTTCTCATGCACCAGCACGCTGTTGAGGTACTCGTGGGACCACAGGGGCCGCACCAGTTCATCTGCACGGGATCCCTGCTCAGGCTGTGCCCGTCCTGCCCCCCCGCCCCGCCGGCCGCCCCCCTCGCAGGGCTCACCATTCCCTTTGATGAGGAAGAGAGCAAATTCCTGTACTTCCTGGGAATCAGTGATGCCCATCTTCCCACACAGCTCCTCCAGCACTTCTCCTACCACCTGGGGGTTGGGAAGGCATAAGGTCACTGCCAAGACAATGTGGATGTGCCCAGGAGCAGCCTCTTCCCCATGGCCTCCCTCTGCCCCACTCACTGTGAACATCTGAATGTTTGTCTTATATTCCGTGCTCCCAGGCATGTGAATAAGAAGCAGGCGGGCCCCTTGCCCCTTCTGCCAAGGCACAGGTTGCAGGGTCAGTCCAGCAGCAGGCAGCAGTCCCAACTGCGTGCACACTGCCCCCCTGCCCCAGGGACACCCCACCCATCCACCCAGTACCAGAAAAGCCTTCATTTCGCTCTGAGGGGGCAGGCGCCGGCGGCCCCCATATTTGATGGTGCGCTGGAGGTTGTCTTGGCAGGTGCGGGCCAGCGCTGCCGGGGAGCAAGGGCAGAGTCAAGAGCCCGTCCCAGCTCCTCCCTAACCCCTCCCTAGCCAGCTGAGTTCTCCTGCTCTCTGCAACTTCCCCCAACCACACCCCGGGCACCTTGGCTGGGGCTCGAATCCTGGAAGAACTTGGTCGCGTAGGGCATCAGCGTGGTGGACGGGGCGAAGAAGCCCGTGAGGAGCCTGAGGAAGTTCCAGCCTCGAGTACAGCGTTCCCTGTCCCAGAACAGAGGACAGAAAGTTCTGCCTTCAGGCAGGCCCTTTAACGGGGTCGGGCTGCTCCCAGAAGCCCCCAGCCGCTCCACGGTCCACTCACTGCCGGGGGTGTCCGGTGACCTGCTTGATGGCCTGACAGTAAATCTCATCTCTGAGGTTCTCCTCGTGGCTCAGCTGTGGGCGGAGGAAAGGCAGGTGTGCAGGGCGGGGCCGGGCCCACAGCCCCCCAGTGCGGTGGATCTGGCCAGCACCCAGAGGTCAGCGGCACAGCTGTCACGTGTCATGCCTCTGGCCACACTCCCCTGCTGCTCTCAGCTGCTCCAATGCCCTGGTGCCGGCCTTGAGCCCCAGGACCCCTCTTCTTGGAAGTCAGTCACCTGGGACCACTGTCCTGAGCTCCTCCCACCTTGAACTCCAAGCAACAGTCAGAATGAACCCACAAAATGTAAAACGAATCTCTCCCTCACCCCCCCAGCAGCTTCCCATCAGAGACCCTGTCAGATGGTGACAAGGCAAGGACCCTAGGGGGCCTGCTGCACCTTGGACCCACTGTTGCTTCACTTCCTGGGCCCCAGCTCATATCAGGACTGACATTGCCCCGGCTCCCACCCAGGCCTGGACACCTGTGCCCGTGTGCACACAGCTTATTCCTTTGTCCTTGCCAGTGGCTTGTCCCAGACCTTCCCCGCAGCACCCTCTTTGCTGCTGATCTCCCCAGCACTCCTGCTCCCTGACAGATGAGTCATTGCTCACTGCCTGCTCCCACGGGGCTGCTGCCCGGCCGGGACTTCACCCCTGAGGGGCACAGCCATGCCTCCTGCCGGTAGGGGGCGCTCAGAGAACACTTCTGAGTGGTGGGAGGGAAGGGTGTCCCAGGGCAGAGGGGACCCTTTCAGCCAGGGCCTCCGGTCAGCCGGCACCAGCCCTCGCACGTTACCTTCAGCAGGTCATAGAGCAGATTCACCGAGTCCTTGCCTCGGGACTTGGACTGGTCCCCCATGAACTGCATCAAAGCTGCAGGTGGGACAGGAAGCAGTTCAACAGGGCCCTGAATGGCCAGGTGATGAAACAGCATTTGGCATTGCCTGCTCTCAGCCACTTTCCTTAATGACACATTCTCGTGTCTGTGTAGCCAGCTGTGCCTGCTTGCCAGGCCTCCCACCCAAGATCCTGTGCTCTTGGTAGCCCCTCACCCTGGAAGCTGGCCACGGCTTGTTTGCTCCTGTTCTCGTCGTCAAAGTCGATGAGTGACTCCTGGATGGGTACCTGTGGCCAGAGAAGTCGAGCCATAGGGCTGCAGCTCACTGGGGCCAGCGGGCAGACTTTTCCCCAAGCCCTTACCTTGGTGTACCGCACCAGGCTGGCTGCGATCTTCCCCTCCTCTTGCTGGTCCAGCCTGGGAATGCAGACAGAAGGACTGGCTTGAGCCTCCCCGCTTGGTTCAGCTAGAGGACAGGGCCGTGGACAGCATGGTTCAGGCCACTCTGAGGCTGGCTGTGGGTACTCACGGGCTCTGAGGCTTCCGGAAGTACCGCTGGGCAAATTCCTGCATGGTGTAGCTGTGGGTGTCAGCGGGCAGGGACGCATAGGCCGTGGAGGAGTGCTGGCTGCCTTCCTCCGAGTTGTCACCGAATGCCTGGCTGCGACGCTGGGCAGAGCGCTGGGAGCACAGGTGGTTGTGATCCCACTTGGCCATGCCAGGAACCCTGCCCCAGCCCTGTCCTCACCCCCCACAACAGCAGAGCCAGGAAAATCAGGGACTGTTTATTGCACCTCATCCAAGCAGCACGAGGACCACACAGGGGCCAGGGCCAAAGCCTTCCCCCAGGGCTGGAAGACCAGGGCAGGAGCCGGCAGGGGACACAGGGACAGAACCAGGCCCAGGGGTAGCAACCACACCCCTCTCCTTCCTCACCTCTGCCCCTCTGCTTTTCCTCACCTCCGAGACTCTGCTCCACTGGGCCAGGCCTGGCTCCCCCAGCTGACTCTTGCGCCGCCGGTTGCCCGGCTGCTCCGAGAAGGAGAAATCGGGGGCCGCAGCAGGCTGCACCAGGTTGCCAGGAAAAAGCCCTGAACGGCCCTCGGTTGAGCCGAACATCCAGCCTGGCGGAGAATCCGAGACAGGAGGCTTGCACACCCTAGCCCCTGTGATCCTCAGAGGGGAGGGTCAGCAAGGCCATGGCCCCCACTAGCCCTGCTGGGGGTCCCCCAGAGGGTACCTGGCTCCAGGCTGGCCACCGGCACTAGCTTGATGAGGTCTCCACGGTGAAAGCTCAGCAGGCTGCGGTCATCCGTGATGTGGCTGCGCAGGGCGACCACGTAGCCCGAGTCCTGCCAGCAGCCAGGGGGTGGGCAGGCCTGTGACTCCTTCTCCTGCCACTCGGCGTGGCTGGCCTCCCCCACCCCACCCAGGACACCAGCGCCCCCCACACTACACCATGCTTGCCTTCTTGAGCTCATTCAGGAACAGTTCCACCAAGGCCTTGATGGCCTGGGCCCGGGCTGAGTGCAGCACCAGCTGCTCCCTAGTCAGCGACAACTCCAGGGTGGAGACACCCGGGCACTCCACGCCCAGCACCTCAGCAAAGCTGCATGGGAGTGAGGAGTGGATGTGGGCAATGGGCAGGGTGGGGAGCCTGTGCCCTGCCCCAGCCCAGCCCAGCCCAGTCCTGGCTCTGCCGCAGCGCACCTATAGGAACACAGTGTCTTCAGCGGGTTCAGGTGCACGTTGGGGCCTGGGGTCACCTTAAGCAGCCTCAGCCCCCGGTGTGAAACACCCAACAGCTGCACGTCACTGCCGTGGCCGTCCTGCGGGGGGTGGGAGACGCACACAGCTGAGTCACGATCAGGGCTCCCTGCAGCGCCCCCCCCCCCCGGGTGCCACGACCACCCAAGACACCCTGGAGCAACTGCACACAGGGTGCACACAGCAGTCCGGCCCACAGCCCCACTGCTTGCCCCCAACCTCACTGACCGAGACCGGGAAGATGCGTGAGAAGTAATTGGCCCAGTTGTCCCGAGCGGCCACCACGATGCGCTTCTTCACGCTGTCCTCAGCAGTGGCGAGGGAGTCCAGGCCCACCTCCAGGTCTCCTGGGGGCAGGAGAGGCCCAGGTTGCACTCAGGGTCCCCCTCCACCCCCGCTCCCACAGTCCCAGCCCCCAGCCCATACCCAGCAGCTCTTTCATTCGGCTCCGCTCTTCTGGGGAGATCCGGATGCAGGACTCGGCGAAGGTGTCCCGCAGGATCTGGGAGCAGAGCCATGGTGTCATGACCAAGTGCTGCAGCCAGGGCTAGCCCAGAGCAGCAACGGACCCGCACAGGGCAGGGGCTTGTCGGTCTCAGTGGGGCTCACTGGAAGGCGCAGGTGCAACAGACCAAGAGCCCCCTACCCCGGGGCCGGGACCACCCAAAGAGCTCCTCTGCAGCCCTCTGCACTTCACCTCTCCCTCCACTGCCTCCCTGCCCAGGCACAAACTCCGGCTGCCTGGAGAACAGGGTGGTGAGGGAGGGTAACGGCCGTGGGGCAAGGAGGGTGCAGTCTGGCAGGTTTAGGGAACAGAGGAGCAGCCCTGGGAACATTCAGAAACAGTAAAGGGACAGCCACTGTTTCAGCAGCAGCTGCTGTGTGCCACAGCCGATGTCTTGCCCTGGACACACTTGGCATGTAATCCTCTGGATACAACGAGATTACTCGATAAAGCAAGAACTGAATGAAGGTGGGCATGGGACATAGGAAGAGCTCCAAGGTACCAGGGCTGACTGTTCCTGTGCTCCCCACATTGGTGTAGGGTTTCACAAGGGCTCCAGGGGCAGCTGGCCTGCCAGCATCCCTGGCGGGACTCACCTGCTCACAGAGGAGCCTGAGGCTGTAGGGGTGACTGAAGTTCTCCCGGGGGTAAAACACCTGGTGGGGTGCAGGGAGCCAAGGGAGGGCTGAGGTCAGGGGGTGGGTCCTGGTCCCAAGGGGTAGGGTCCCAGGGTCACAGTGGGCAGGGCCAGGACCCCACCCGCTGTCCTCGGCCCTCCCAGCTGCCTTCTTGGGCCCACCTCCTTGCGCAGGAACAGCCTCCAGGGGGCGCTGGTGTATGAAAAGCACACGCTGCCCGAAGATGCCAGCAACTGGGTGGAGAACCCTTGATCCCTCATGGGCTCCAGCAAGCCTGGGGGTGGGCAGAGGGGACGATGAAGCTGGGGCAGCACACTCCACCAGCCCACTGAGGGCCCTGTGCTCCGCCTCCAGCCACCTCATTCACTGCTTCCGTGTCCTGCCCTCCGTGTCCTGCCCTCTGTGTCCCCTGGTATCCCTGACCACGTCAGCCAGGGTCACTCAATTCCCCGTGGAGCTGTCATGTCTGCACCAAGGACAACACTCTGCATGCAAGAGGCAGGCAGGTCCCAGGGGTGCTGGCCCCCGCCCAGGGCAGGAATCAGGAAGCTGGGGTTCCCCACCCACAGTTCAAAGTCCAGGAGCCACAGCTACTAGCCTCCGCCAGGTGGAGCTGACCTGAGTTGTGGGTGCTGAGCGCTGTCCCAGCAAAGCCCACCCACTGTGCAGGGCATAAAGGTTTCTTACCATGAGGCTTTGTCGAAAGGGTCCTGGAGTCTTCAGGTGGAGGCAAGGGGGGTGCCGGCAATGGGCAGGGGGGTGCTGGTGCAGGTGGGGGTGCGTTTGTGATGAGCCGGTTCTGGCTAAACAGGTCTCGAAGCGGTTCCTGCTTTGCCCTGATGGAGCTGGAGGGCCCAGGCCTTGGGGTGTCCTTGGGCCGAGGAGCTACAGCCGGCGGCGGTTCCTTCCCTAGGCCAGGGGACAGCGTCTGAAGGGTGCAGGGAAGACAGATGAGCTGTCTGGAGACAAAGCCAACTTACCCCAGAGTCCCCTGCTCCTGGGCAGAGCAGCTCCCTGCCACCACAGCAGGGGCCTGACAGATGGGGGGTGCTCACCGTAGGGGGTGAGTGGGCGCCTTGGATCCCCAATTTGGCCAGAGCCTCGTCCTTAGGGTCGTTTTTCTTCCCAAAGGTTTTGGGGGGCCTTGCAGGAGAACAACAAGATCAGTAGGAGCTTGGGGTAATACCTGGGGGGCAACAACACCGTCCTGCCGCCTCCACCAGGAAGCCCACCTAGATGGCTCTACAGGCACAGGCACAGGCCCGGGGCGGCTCTGGTACATCCGGATGATGTTACGGATTTCCCTGCTGGGTTCTGGCCGCTTGGCTGTGGGGCTCACGCTGTGCACTGTTGGCTCAGCCTTCTTGGTGACTGGAGGGGGAGGAGGGGCAGGGGTGGGCACTGGCTTTGCTGGCTCTGCCTCAGCCTCTTTTGTAGCTTTGTGCTTACTTTGCTTCAAGGGCTTCTTGGTGACCGGAGGGGGAGGAGGTGGGGCAGGCACTGCCAGGAAGCGGAAAGATTGTTAAACACAGCTGTGCAGAACTCGGGGGGCCTAGGGGCTCACCCTCCTCTACATACCTGCTGCGTCCTCCTCCTCTTCCTCCTCCTCCCCCTGGGGGATCTGGATCTTGGCTGGAGGCCTCACCTTCTTCAATATCACCTGCTCTTGCCCTGTAAGGGCCCCCAGACGGACACCATCACCCAAGAGCTGCTCCACCCAACTAACCCCTCCCGCCCCTGCGCCACCAGTCTGGGCTCCTGGGCAGACCACAGGGACTCAGGGGAGCAGGGTGCACCCCCACCCCAGCCAGTGAAGCCGCCTCCCTGCGCGTCCTCACCCATCTTCTGGAAATAGTCCCGTTTCTGCTGGAAGCTCTTGGGGCGCCAGAACCCATCAGGGACATCCTCCTCTGGGGGTTCCTCCTGGCCGAGGCGGAAGATGAGAGCAGTCCCCACCACCAGCCCGGTCACCACACAGATTTCTCCCTCTGCCCCCGTGCAGCCCCGGCACCTACTGTCCCCGCCGCACTCCTACCCCAGGCCCTGCCATCTGCCCGTCCTTGGCCTCTTACCCTCAAGCTGACAACCACGGGTTCCGGATCTTGCTTTGGCTCTACCCGGGGAGTAGGCGACTTCTTGGGCTTTGGGGTGACGGCTGGAGGTGGGTCACGGGCGACCTCCAGGGATGCCTGCGCCTGCTGCTGGCGGTGCTGTGTCTGCTGCTCCAGGGACAGGCTTATGGCCTGTGTGGTCATCTGCTGGGCCTGAGGACACAGGGCTGGGTAAGAGCTCTGGCGGGCCCAGCCCCGAGGCGCTGCTGCCCTCAGGTGGTCCCCTGGGCCCCATCTGTCCATCTGTCCTCACCAAGATCATGGCCTGTTGGTTGATGAAATTCTGCTGTTGGGCCGCCAGCTGCCTCGTGTCCAGGCTGGGGAGCAGGGGCTGCGGCTGTGGCTGCGGTGGCACCATCATGGCTATAGGAGCACGAGGAGGGTAGTGCCAGGTGCGCGCCAGGTCCTGGGCCTACCCACTGAACCCTCCCTCTGGTGGCCCAGCCGTACCTGGCATGGAGGGGACTGTGCCCATCGCTGGCATCATGGGCATAGGTGCGGGGATCATGGCTGGCTGGTAGCTGGGCACCTGCATCATCCCTGGGTACACTGAGGGAACAGGGCCCTCTGGGGTCAGTCCTGCTCGGACCCACATACCACCCCCCTCCAGGCACAGGCGGGGAGAAGTGCTCCCCCCTGCCCCGTGCTGGCTGGAACCCCTCCAACAGGCATGACCGTCGCTTGGCACTCACCAAGGGGGTAGCCTGCCTGCGGTGTCCCGATGCCACCTCCGCCCTTCATGCGGCCACTCAGTGCCCAGCCTTCCTCCAGGTCCTGAGGGGGCCAAGGTCACGGGATCAGAGCAGAGCCCTGCCCAAGGGCAAGAAGCAGGAGGTCCCAGGGCACAGGGGAAGGTGTGGGGGCCACTTACCCTGAGGCCTGGGGAGAAGACCGGCTCAAAGAGGTTGTCCAGAAAACCCTCCAGGCTCCCTGGTGGACGGGCCTCCCCTGAGGGGCAGGACAGGGGCTGTGCCATGCGCCTGCATGTGGGGTTTCCTGTGCCCCCCACCCCCACAATCTGTCAACCTCCATGTGGCCAAGCCGGCCTCACCTGTGAGTCCCCCACCAGGCAGTGTTGGAGCTGGACCTGGAGGGAGGCCTGGGGGTAGTGTGGGGGCCTGGACGCCAGGGGCAGGGGGGATGTCCTCAGCCCTGTGGAGAACGGTGGGTCCAGCTAAGGGGGGCTGTGAGGCTGGGAGGTGGTGTGCAAGCCAAGACCAAAGGTAGAAGCAGCCATGGGGGCAGGAGGGGGCTGGGCTGGGAAAGCTGAGGGGCATGACAGGATGGCTGCATGGGGTCACCGGTGGGGGCTGGAGGGATAAGACTCTCACGGGCCAGTGGGAGCGATGGGATAGCCTCGGGGTTGAGCTGGGTCCCCCAGGTCTTCCGTCTGGCCGATGAGATCCAGCACAAAGTCGCAGCCGGCCAAGTCCTGCCAGGCATCCCCGGAGTGCAGTGACACGGACCAGCCACGAGGGGACGTTTCTAGGCCTCTGTGTGAAATGGGGTGTCAGCCTGGGTGGTGAGCAAGGTGGACAGCCATCCCCAGGGACCAAGGGCAGCCCCTGGAGCCCTCCGATTGCAGGCAGCCTCAGGTGGAGCAGGCTTTGGGCCCAGGCATGCAGGAGAGTGAGTTGGGGGCAGGGATGATGGGGTCTGTAGCACGACCCCCTCGGGACCCCATACCTGCTCTGCAGGATCCACCCTGCCAGCTGCTCCCCCGTGGTCCAGGACTCCACCTCAGCCGAGTAGCGCTCCTCTGTGGGGGTTAGGGGGTTGGGGGGTTGGAATGTGAGGGGCAGCTAGGCCCTCCAGGTCAGACCAGCGCTTGTCCCCAGGGGCACTCCCCAAGCAGTGCACAGGGGCCATCTGGGGCCTGGAGAGGCAGCAGGAAGGGGTGCCCTGCAGGAGGCAACCATCACCGTTGAAGGTGAGCACGTCCAGCGCCATGCGGCCCCGTCGCCATCCGGCCGTCCACTCCAGCTGGGTCGGGGGGTGGGCCCGGGCTGCCCCAGGGGCCAGCGGCGTCTGTTCCAGGGCCCCCAACAGTTTATGCTGACACAGCGCTGCCATGCCGTGGGGAGCATGGTCAGATACGAACCTGCAGGGATGGCATGGATCTGGCTGTGAGGAGGTGTGGGCCCTTGACCATACCTACCACCACCAGCTGCCCCCAACACCCGTCCCCAGCTGTCCCCTCACTTGAGCAGCGGCTTCTGCAGGGCCGGCGTTGGGGGGAAGGCGCTGAGCAGGACGGCCATGAGGGCCCAGCCGCGCTGGCTCTGCTGTTCGTCCGGGTTGTGCCAGAGCTGGGCGACCAGCTGGCTGAAGATCTCGTCCCGGAGCCCCAGGTGGCGCTGGCCTTGCCGCACCAGGTACAAGCCCAGGGCCTGCTCCTGCCACGGAGACAGGGTCCCATCGCCCAGGAGCCGCAGCATCTGCATGTCACACGAAGCCAGGCCAGTTTGAGGTGTAGGGCATGAGAGCAGGGGTCCACCCCATCCGCTCTGCCCTGGTACCCCACTCACCACCCTGTTGATGTCCAGGGCAGGCCGAGCATTCTCCCTGTCCAGCCGTGTCAGGGGCTTGGCCAGTGGCTGCCCTGGGCTGGGGAGGGATGGCTCCTGCAAGGGAAAGTGGATGACATAGTAACATCACACCTAGGCAGGACCTGGCATGCAGACAGACCCCCAAGGTGCTGGGCAGGAGCACAGAACCTGGGAGGGGGACAGGGGCTGGCCCCCAATACCTCCTCAGATACACCCCTGAATAAAAACCCTATTTCTATTTGGAAGGCAGATTTCCACAGAGAAGGAGACAGAAAGATCTCTTTCTATTAGTTCACTCTTCAAGGGCCACAATAGTCAGAGCTTATCTGATCTGAAGCCAGAAGCCAGGAGCTTCTTTCAGCATCCCAGGCTGTGAGCAGGGAGCTGGAGGGGAAGTGGAGTAGCCAGGACATAAACTGGTGTCCATATTGGATGCAAGCAGAGGTTTGGCATGTTATGCCTCTGTGCTAGCTCCTGAATTTGCTCTCTGATTAGAATATCAAGGGTCTGGCACAATGGCTCAGTGGCTAAATCCTTGCCTTGCATGTGCCAGGATCTCATGTGGGCACCGGTTTGTATCCTGGCTGCTCTACTTCCCATCTAGCTCTCTGCTCACAGCCTGGGAAAGCAGTTGAGGACGGCCCAAAGCCTTGGGACCCTGCACCCGTATGGGAGACCTGGAAGAGGCTCCTGGCTCCTGGCTTAGGATTGGATCAGCTCTGGCTGTTGTAGCCCCTTGTGGAGTGAACCAGCAGATGGCAGATCTTTCTCTCTGTCTCTCCTTGTCTCTGTAAAATTCAACTTTCCAAAAAAAAAAAAAAATCTTAAAGAATGAAAGAAAATCAATCCCCACAGCTGCAGACAGCTCAGAGTGGAGAAAAGGACGGATGCGAGCATCCCACCATTCATGCTGACCCATCTGCAAGGAGCCCGGCTGGCATCTCAGCTCCTATTTCTTGTGCACACATTCTAGAGCATTCCACACACACCCCTCTCAAATCTGTTGTTCCTAAGCAAGATCAAGAATCTGCCTGGTGTGCCAGTTGGCAGTCTGTGTTTGCAGAAAGGCTCCTGGTCGTTAAACTCCCTTTAAGGAACTCAATGTCAGGACAACCCATGGGCAGGATAGACTGCCGTGCCAATCCGCAGTGAGGCTTTTCTGCTTCAAACACGTTTTGTGATCTATTCAGCTGTATCCACCACCCAGTGACCACACAGGGAGGAGGCAGGCGGAAGAAGGGGAGAGGCCTCTGTGTACCAGCAGGTACCACCCCAACTCCGGGAAGGGAGGGCGGGGCCCACCTGAAAGTGGGTAGAGACGAAGGTGGAGAAAGGGTGCTGGTTGATATCTGGCGGGAGGCTGAGGCGGGGCCGGGCGGGGACCTCAGGGGGCATGCATTCGGTGATGCTCCGGGACAGGCTGTCCAGGTGGCCTGGGGAGGAAGGGCGGGAGGTAGCCCTGAGCTGCATGTCGTGGCCACCAGAAGCCAGCTGGGGCACTCAGGAGCATCAGAGCAGGGAAGCTCTGACGGGGCCCCACCCCCTCCCCATCACCGAGAAGGGACAGGGCCGAGGTGGAGCAGGACACTCAGAATAACCTCGTGCTGTCTTCAGGGTGGCGGCCAGCTCGGCCGGGATCTCCAGGCGCCCCAGCTCCTGGCAGAGAAGATGAAACAAATTATTCAAGGACTAAGGGGATGGGCTTAGGGTCCCCCTCAAGTACCATCACCCCCCTTGGGATAATAACACCCCTGCAATGACCAAGTGCTTTGAGGCCACAGGAATAAGCCTCCTGCTCCAGCTCCCTGCCAAGGCGCCTGGGAAAGCAGTGGAAGATGGGAGACCCGGATGGAGTTCCAGGCTCCTGGCTTTGGCCTGGCCCAGCCCTGGTTATTGAGGCCATTTGGGAAGGGAACTGGCGAACGGAAGACCTCTCCCCCACCCCACCGTCACCCGCCTTTCAAACAAATTAATAAACCTTTTGAAAATAAAAAAGATCAAGGACTCTGGTCCAGTGCCTCCCCGGCTGGGCCCCCCGTGAGATCCCAGGAGGCACCGGAGCAGTGAAGGCCCAGGCTTCCCAGCAGCACCGTGATGGTCAGGACCCACCCTCCCCAGGCGGGCCAGCCACAGTGCGTTCATCACTGTTGCTACTCGCCACCCAGCCACCTTCTCCCAGCCACCTACCATGCTTGGCATTTTCTTAGAGGCCGCTTCGTTGTGCCAGCCGCACCAGTGCCCGAGCTGTGGGGAGATACAGAAGGAGCTGATGGCTTGAGTGGGGTGGCAGTGTCTCCCAGTGGCACCTGCCCAGCTCTCTGGACCACTCTCACTCCTGGCTGTCCTAATGCCAGCACAGGCCCGTCCCTGCCTTCGCTACGCTCCGAGGCCCTCACCGGCCGCTGTGGGTGTCACTGCCAGTCTGCCAGGGCTCAGAAAAGAGGGCAGGAGAAGGAAAGGAATGGTCCCAGGGCGCAAAGTCCAGCCAGGGAGGGGCTGGAAAGGGGAGCAGCCTGTGGGCACTGCCCTTTGAGCAGTTTTATGGCCCTCCAGTTGGAGTCACCAGACAAGAGACAGGTACAGAGGTGGCCCCAATAGGGTGTGGGGGCCCTGGAGGGGTTGGAAGCCCCAGCCTAGGGGACATAGAGCAGGACAGAAGCAGCAGCAGCCTCACAGGGTCTCCTGCCTCCCCAGGCCTCTGTCCCTGTGAGGCTGAGCTGAGATGGCATCCACTGTTGGCTCCCGGCCAGCGTAGTCAGTCCAGGCTGCCCGGCTCCTTCCCTGGATGCCCTGGTTCTACTGCCCATCTGACCCCCGCTCCCCATGCACCTGCCACTGTCTCCGGAGTCTCCAGAGCAGGGGCCGGGCCACCAGCAGGATGGTGCTGAGCTGTCCCAGGGCAGCTCGCCTTCGCAGGTAGCGTTTCCTGGAAGCCAGGGTGGGGGTGGGGAGTGAGGCGGAGCTGCGTCAGGCCAAATCCAGGAGCCTGGGACTCCATCCAGGTCTCCCACGTGGGTGCAGGGGCCCAAGGACTCAGGGCATCCTTTGGTGCTTTCCCAGTGGGCATTCGCAGACAGGCGGACCAGAAGTGGAGCAGCCGGGACCTAAACTTCCGCTCCCATACGGGATGTCCGTGTCCTAGGCAGGCACCACGATGCTGGAACGGTATTTAAGCAAAATCTATAAAATCAGGAAGTGCTGTCCCCATGCGTGGTGGGAATGGGACTGAATGATGAGCGTTTATTTTTTATTTTTTTTGGTTTTGCTCACATTTCTGCTCTCTAACTCCTTTCCCAAGGGAGACATGGAAATGCTAGCCTTCCTGCTTTTTGGGGGAACTACCCCCCAACATTTGAGAGTAGACACAGCCACTGCACAGCGTTTCGCCCTGCTCCCCCATAGGGCTACAGGGTGTGCGTGGCTGGTTGTTGCTGCCACACCTGCGCAGTGCAGCCTCCATAAAGCCCACATTACGGGTCCAGAAGCAGGGGTCGGTGAGGAGATGGACAGAGCCGGGAGGTTCCAGCAGGCAGACACTTGTAGGAGGGGGAGGCAGAAGTCCCACCCCCTCCCCTTTCCAGTGCCCAAGACTTCCTGTGCATGGTCCTTCCACCTACGCCAACCTCGTGTTTCCCTGCCAGGAAACCACTTGAGCCTGAGGACGGGGCTGTGGGCTGCAGGGTCGCAGCTAAAGACAGCTGGACTGCCATTGGGGGTATCCCTACCCCTTTTGGGGGTCACAAAAGTGATCTGCGTGGAGACAAACCACGGTTTTCCTGACACAGAGGGGAGCCGAGTCAGGTTGGCCAGGAGGTGCCAAGATTAGGGTCAGATGGGAGGGGCAGGTCCTGCAGAAGTCCAGATGCAGTGGGGGAGGGGGAGGCTGTGGTCAACTGACTGAAGGCATTGCAAGAGGGGGCTCCGAATGCTCCCCTGCAGAGGCACGCAGCACTGTGAGATCACGGGCTGAGGGCCCTATACTCAAATGGAACACAAATATGTGCATTTACTATGTATCCTTTTCTTAAAAAAAAAAAGATAACATTGTCAAACCTAACAGGAGACTCCTGAATGGGAAATGCACAAAATATCCCAGAGGATTTCTCAGCTGCAAGACCAGACTTCTCTAGGAAGAAGTTCCAAGGAGACCCCAGATGGATCTGTAACCTCGTGGCACGAAGGACACACACAGAGGACAGAATGGTGACGGTGCACGGCAAATAGGAAGCCTATTTGAAAGTCACCCGTTGGGTACGGGTTCAGTATGCAGAATATAGAGAGAATGCCCACAGCGCAACAACCAGACAAGCAAGCCAACAAAAAGCCAGGTAGAGGAGCAGAGCAGACGTGTCTGCCAGGCAGATAAGAGCCACCAGCGGCAAAGATGCCCATGAACAGAACCTTGCTTCGGCCTTGTCCACCTTTAGAGAAATGCAGCTCAAAGCCACGAGATGGAGAAGGGAGGGGGCTGTGGCGCAAAGGGACAAGCTGCCGCCTGCAGCACTCCGCATTCTACGAGTCTCAGTTTGAGTCCCAACTGCTCCATTTCTGAACCAGCTCTCTGCCAGTGTGCCCAGGAAATCAATGGAAGATGACCCAAGTGCTGGAGCCTCCTGCCATCCAGGAGGGGGACCAGACGCAATTCCAGGTTCTTGGCTTCATTTTGGCCGAGCCCCAGGTTTTCCAGGCATCTGGCAAAAGAACCAGCGCAGAGACCTCTTTCTTTCAAACATGTCTTCAAAATAAAACATGCACTACTACTTCACACCCACAAGGCTGGCTGCTGTTTGAAAGACAGCAAAGGGGGTCGGCCAGGACGTGGAGTGGCCGGAAGCCTTGTGCTGTGCAGCATTGTGGGCGACTGTGCAGCCAGCCCTCAGAATCCCCAACAGACCATTGCACAGCCTGGCCACTCCACTCCTGAAACCCCCAAGGCCTGAACAGAGAGACCAGGAGGGAGCCTCCCCCCACGTCCCCCCGCCACCACTTCCCCTGGTAGCCTGACTTCTAAGGGAATGCCCAGCCACAGCGAGTGCATCCACAAGCGTGGCTGGGCCACACGTGGAACACCACTGAGCCCGGAGGTCAAAGGGAATTCTGACCCACATCATGCGGGCAGGGGCTGAGAACCTGACATGAGTGAATGTGGCCAGACTTGTGTATTCGGGACAAGGGCGGGCCTCTGGCACAGTGGCTGAGACCCTGCTGGGGACACCCGTGTCCCGTGGTCACGATGCCAGGGTTCAAGTCCCAGTTCCACTTGCTGCTGATGCGCACCCTGGGGGGTTAGCAAGGACGGCTCATGTGGCTGAATCCCTGACACCCAGGTGGGAGACAGGCTCAAGTGCCCAGCTCCTGACTTCAAGTTGCAGGTGTCTGGAGCGGGAAGCAGTGGCTCTGAGACCTCCATCTGTCCATCTCTGCCTTTCAAAGGCGAGTCAGTCAATACATCCAGACCAGGCAGTTACTAAGAGTGCGAGCGCAGAGCGGCGGTTACTGGGGGGACAGGGCAGCGTATTAGAAACCGTGGCCACTGCTGCTCCTCTGGCACTGACTTGACTCTGCTGGCCCCACAGGGTGACCCGAGAGGTGAACGGCTGCTTCCCCCTGTGTCACTAGCGTGTGGCCCAGGGTGGAGGAGCAGGCGGCCAGCAGGTGCTGATGAGTTGGCCTGGGGGCAGGTGGCCTTGCCTTGGGACCACACATCTCCCGCACCGAGTCCCCACCCCCCAGCCCCAGGCACGCGTGTCCCGCAGACCTGGCCTGTAGCCCGCGCACGCGCGCCTGCAGCCGGGGCAGGAGACGGAGGCGCCGGTTGCGCACGCAGGCTCTGAGGCCGCGGCGCAGGGTGAGCAGGGCCCGGGAACACTGTTGGTCCCTGAGCTGCTCCAGCCGCTGCCAGCCCTGCTCCTGCAGCAGCACCTGCAGGAACAGAAGCAGGCAGGGGTGGGGGGTGGGTGGCTGGCCTCAGTACCTCCCGGCCAGCCAAGCCACTGTGGGGGTACCCCCGGACAGCTACCACCCATCTCCCCAGCCCTGGGAAGAGCAGAATCCTGAGCTAGTCCCAGAAAGTCCCTTCTTCCCATGCAGGTGTGAGCATCCCTGCACGTGCACACACACACAAACACACCTGGGTGACTCCAAGATGACACAGCGGGGACTCCACCCCCAACACTTGGCTCACAATGGCGCCACACCTCTCACGGTCAGGGGTTCCTCCCTGCCCCTCTGGCCCCAGGGCCCGGAACCTGCCCCAGGGACAGCAAGGTCCTTTGCACAGTGCCTGGGAAGCCCCACTGTGCAGCTTGCAGGGAGGGTGGGGGTGTGTGTGTGTGTGTGTGTGGGTGTGTGTGTGTGTGTGTGTGTGTGTGTGTGTGTGTGTGTGTGTGTGTGTGTGTGTGTGTGTGTGTGTGTGTGTGTGTGTGTGTGTGTGTCGGGTGCAGAGGGGCATAAAGCAGGCACAAAGGCTCAGAACTTCTCGGCACCCCTAGCCCAGAAGCCAGTGCCAGGTGCCTGGCCTGGAGGGAGCCGGAGGCTGTCCAGGTGAGGCTCGTCCACTGAGCTGGCCAGTGCAGGAAGTGGCTGGCAGGTGCGGGGTGTGCGTCAGCACCTGCTGCTCCCTGGTGCCCCGCCTGGACTGCAGAAGGTGGCCATAGCAGAAGACAATTTCCGGAAGGCTAGGACGGAACCTACCCTGCCAGGGTGCTTCTCACAGTCTGGTTCAAGGTCAGGCATGATCGCTGGCCCCACCCTCGGTCAGCCTTGGCCATCACAGACGAAGTGGGGGGAGGGGTTCTAGAGGAGCCCTGGTTCTAGGCGGCTCTGCTAGACCAGAGGCCACGCCCAAGAAGGCAGCTCGGAGCTCCCCACCCAGAAAGGGCCCCTTCCCCACCCACCAGCCCCTCCCCACCTGGCCAGGAAGACCTGAAAAGGCAGGCGCACGGGGAAGTGGGCACAGCGGGCAGCCACGGCCTCCAGGGCACCAGCCTGGCGCAGCTGCTCTGCCACATGGTTCACATCGAAGAGGCCAGGGAACTGGGATATAAGATGGAGCTGATGAGAGCCAGGAAGGGGAGGCAGGATGGCGGGGAAGGGAGTTTGGTCAGGCGGACGAGGCTCACCTTCCCTGGGTTGGGGTTGAGGCACTGGATGACATGGACGTGGCTCCTGTGAGCAGAAGGCAGGTCACACTGGGGCCAGCCCAGCCCTGTGCTCAGCCCTGGTGCCTGCACGGAGGTGGCGCAGGGTGTCGGAGGGGGTCCGTGCTCTCACCTGCCCAGCTCTGTGAGGAGGGCACCAAGAGACTGCTGAAAGCGGGAGGCCAGTGTGCCTCGGCCTGGTCTGTCCTCCACCTGCTCTGCTGCCTGGAAGAGGCTGCCCACCAGCTGCGGGCAAGAGAGGACTCTGGGGCCTGCCCATCAGCCCCACTGCCCTGAGGAGCCAGAGTGACCAGCCCTTGGCACCAAGAGACCCTGGAAAGCTCAGCCCCGGCCCCCCGTCCATCCCAGGTGCCTGGGACTTGGGGGCCAGCTTGCAGGGGTAGCAGGGTATTCGGGGAGGGGAGCAGGGATGGGGGACACTGCTTAGGCACCTCCAGCCGGCTCTGAGCCAGCACCTCCTCCGCGGCCCGGTCCAGTTGATCCCGGTTCCTGTTTAGAAACTTGTGAACCTGTGAGAGCCCAGGGGAATCTGGCAGTGACTGAAGGACCCGCCGGCCTTGGGTCCAGCCCCTGGTCCTTCTGCTTCAGCGAGAGCCTGCTGGGTACCAGGCATGTACCCCCACCAACACCCCGCACAGGCCCAGTCCACAGAAGGGTGGCTGGAGGCTCGGCTGGGGAGTGGTCACATGCCCGTGCTCTCCACGGCACAACTTGACCCTGTGATTCTCATCCTGTGTCAGGCACGGGTGGGGCCGGGGGGGCCTCCCTCACCTGCCTGTTCACCGTCGCATGACTCAGTTGCCCCGATGATTCACCCTGGTGTCAATTACCTGGTAGGTGACACTCCCGGCATCGTGCCTCACGGTGAAGATGGGCAGGGGCAGCTGGGGCTTGGTGTAGCTGGGGTGGTTGCCATGGTGATAGTGGCACTTCTGGAGGAAGGTGTGGTCCGTGGCCTGGGGAGGGGCCAAGCAGCTGTTCCCTGCCTGCCCTGAGCCCCCTCCCATGTGATCCCCAAACACCGCAAATCCTGTGGTTTTGCTCCCCAAAACCTCCACAGAGGGGGTGTAACCACCGATGTTTGATTTACTTGAAAAGGTGCATGCTCTTGGGGGACATGGTCTCCCAGCCCCACTGCTTCGTCTCAGAGTCCCACATGTGTGGCTGTATATTTAGTTCTCTTTAAGCTAGCACTTTGTTCCTGCTAGTCTGTGGGTTTTAAAAGGAGATGGAGCAGGCCTATTTTTGCTCATTTTTATCCTCAGTAGTGCTGTAACACAAGCTCATTCATTCACTAATTCCTTAATGAACTCTTCTCCAAGGAGCCAGCCTGCATGGAGCTCGGTCAGCACGAAGAGTGAAGGAACATGGGCCCAGCGCAGTGGCCTAGCAGCTAAAGTCCTCGCCTTACACGTGCCGGAATCCCATATTGGCACTGGTTCTAATCCCGGCAACTCCACTTCCCATCCAGCTCCCTGCTGTGGCCTGGGAAAGCAGTCGAGGACAGCCCAAAGCTTTGGGACCCTGCACCCGCAAGGGAGACCTGGAAGAAGCTCCTGGCTCCTGGCTTTGGATCGGCATAGCTCTGGCCGTTGTGGCCATTTGAGGAATAAGTCAGCAGGTGGAAGATCTTCCTCTCTGTCTCTTCTCCTCTCTTTGTATCTAACTTTTCAATGAAAATAAATACATATTAAAAAAAAAAGAAGTGGAGGAACACACCCCACTAAAGCACGGGGACAGGCGTGCGCTATTTAGAAAGAGACCACTAGAGGGCGCGGCTGTGCAGGGAGCTATTCCGGAAGTGACCACTAGAGGGAAGATCTGAGCCCTGTTCTGTTCTACCCTCCGGGAGGCCTTGCTGTTGACGTTTGTCCAGCTCCCGCCCTCACCTGGGCCAACCAGGTCTGGGCGTCCAGGAGAGTCAGGAGGCTGTGGGGCTGGCCCACTAGGAGGTCCAGGCAGGACTCCCGCGGAGGCTGCGCGATGGGCACCCAGGGCAGTAGCTCCTGCTGACACACCTCCTGTGGGGTTGGCATTTGGCCCCACTTGTGGGCGCTGCAGGAGTGGCTCCCCATTTGACACATATGAATCCACTGAGGCATTCCCATGGGGAGAGGGCTCCAGGGTAGAGCTATCAGCTCGTTTCTCTGTTCACCAAGAATGCTCTGGTGAATGCCAGGCCGGGTCGTGTTAAGGGTCCTCTGCCCTGTCCATGCCTATGTTTAACTCCTCTTACCTCCTCCTGGGCCAGCAGCTTCTGGCTACAGAAGAGCTGCAGGCGCTCGCTGGCGAGGTTGTTGCACAGTTGCTCCAGGCCATTCACCCGCAGCGCCTGGGCACACGTAGACAGTGAGGTGGGCACCTGTGCGAGTCCAGCAAGGCCAGGCAGGTCCGAGCTTCCAGAGAAGGCAGCAGGGGCCCACATGTAGCTGAAAGGAGGCTCAATGAGCACCCCAAGTTCTCAGCCAGCTTGACTCCTCAGCTGGACTTGAATGCCCTGAGAGGGGGCCTGTTCGCTTTCCTTTCTATCTCTGCTACCTGCTAACCCTCTCCACCCCACACCAGCAGTCACCTAAGCCAGAGAAAGCTCACTGCTAGGTGGCATAAGGCTTGTGGGCACCCCCAACAGGGAGCTGCTGGCACCTCCAGAAACATTTCTGATGTAGACACCCACCACCCAGGGCCCACCCCAAGGGGTGACCTCAAAGCCATAGGCGTCCACCACAGTGATGGTGCTTGGGCTGTGCCCGTCCCCCGGGGCTGCCAGCTGTGCATTCATCTTTTGCAGGAGCCAGCTGAAGAGCCGGGAGTACAAGGCCTTGGCCAGGGCGTCCCTGTGGGCGGTGTCAGTAAGCCATACGGAGCAGCTAGCCAGGCCAGGTGCCCATGTCTCTGGTCCCCGGGCACACCTGGCATCGATGGCACTTTCCACGGGCAGTGATTTTGAGACATGGCCATAGGGCGTTTCCTAGAGGCCGGGGAAGGCATGGTAGTGGGAAGACCCTTGCCCATGCCCCACAGGCAGGCGCCCAGCCTGCAGGTGGCCCCGGGTCAGCCCTACCTCCCAAGGACCCAGAACTCACCATGACCCTCCTGGTGACAGCTGCCTCCAGGCCTTCTGGTGCCACCTGCAGCAGCCGAGCTGCCGTGCGGATCTCGGCCCAGCTGGCCACAACGGCCACCTCCTGGGACTCCCTCTAGATGGAGCAGGAAGGGCCAGGGTGGGCTTGATGAGCCAGGCTCAGAGGAGAGAGTGTGCCTACACTCTAGGCTGTGGTATGCTTGTCCTTGCCCTGACGGTGCCAGGAAGCCCCCAGGACCCAGGACCCACCTCGGAGGAGCAGAAGCAGATGTTGCCCAGGTGCAGGATAGCAGCCAGCATGGCCCAGACCCCGGCCAGCTCCTCAGGGTGCAGGCCCAGCAGCTGCAGGGCCCTGGCCAATCCCGTGAAGTCCTGGCCATCCTCCTTGCCCTGGAGCCAGCAGGCGCGGCCCTGTGGGGGCACAGCAGGGCTAGGGGCACGAGGACAGCCTCCCTCAGGTTCCTCTTCTTCCTCAAATGCCCCTCTCACCTGGTTGAGGAAGTGGTAGGTTTCTGGGCCCTGCAGGGACAGCTGCTCCCGTTCGGCAGGGTCCAGTCCTGCCAGCAGCTCATAGAAGACATGGAAGCTCCGCTCAGCCTGCGCCTTGGGGGGAAGGACTGGCTGGAAGGGTGTGCACACAACTCCCTGCAGCAGCTCCTGCCCTGGGTCAGGACGGGGCTGTTTACCTGAAACACCACCCTCGAGGTCTCAAGCAGATAGTGGGACATGGAGGCGCCCACGACGACCCCACTATAGTCGCAGGAGACAGAATTGGGGGTGACTGGAGCAGGAAAAACCAGGGAAGCCCCCACAGGAGTGGGGAGGAACCCCAGGTTCCTACCCAGACCACCACTGCTCACTCTTGCAGGAAGAGGCGGAAGACCTGGCCGAAGCGGCTGGCGTTGGCATTGAGGATGGTCTTGGCATGTCCAAAGCTGCTAAGCATGGGCAGTACCTCGGCCAGCTGTAGGTCGGTGGGCATATCTATCTCTGGGAAGGCCACAGCCCGCACGACTGGGTACCCCAGCAGGGACCCCCCTACACCCATGTGAAAGGCCCCAGCCCAGCTGTCCCTGCAGTCGGCTATCCTGGGGCCTGACGATCACCCCCCCCCCACTCCAACCTCCACCAGTCCCGAGGAGAAGGGTGGTCCCTGTTGGAACCCTGGAAGTGGCCCTGGAGACAGGCAGCCAGCTCAGTGCCCCCCACCCTGCATGCTGCCATCCCACACCTGGTGCACTCTGTCTCTTGCCTGCTCCGGCCCCAGGCTGCTCAGGAACTGCACCAGCTTCCGAGCGGCTTCCGTCTTCCCTGTGCCGCTGTGCCCGCTGCCAGAGGGATGCATGCAATGTGGGGTGGGGTCTTAGCAGGGTCCCCAGGAAGGACCCTCCTGAACCACAGGAAGTAAGAACCCCAGAAACGCAAAAAGCTGGAGCCGGACAAGGCCCCCGGATGCCACCCTGCCGACTTCACCCGGGAACAGGGGAGCCAACGATCCCCGGAGCTGCTGCCTGGCGGTGGCTCAGACCGGTCATTTCCAACGGTGCCAATACGCCCACCCGGGAGGGTCAGCCATACTCACCTCAGGAGGACGCAGGGGGCCTGGCCGGGGGTCTGAGACAGGTTGTAGGCAGCTGCAGCCACAGCAAAGACGTGCCTGGGCGAAGGGAGTGAGCGGACGCTATGGAGGAGGCTTCTGGGGCCTCCCGGAGCAGGCAGCAGGGGCTCCTGGGGGACCGGGGGGCAGTGACGTACGGCGTGCTGCTGGGGGTCTTCCTGGGGTGGTAGCTGGCCAGGACCGCGGGTGAGAAGAGAGGCAGGGGGCGGTGGGGGTTCAGAGCCAGCAGAAGGGAACCCCCAAAAGTCTAAGGAAGAAAGCGAAAGGTCTGGTGCAAATGTGGAAGGAGATAAGGGGGGCCCTGATGCCTCCTCTCCAGTGGGGGATACCCAAACCCCGTCTGCCTTCGCCCCTTCCCCAGGCTCCCCCATACGTAGATGCGGCCCAGCTGGAACCTCTTCTTGAGGCAAAGCAGTACGGAGCTCTCACACAACAGCCTGCGGGTGAAGAGGGGCCGGGTCAGCGCGGATGGAAGGGGTGAGGCGCCTGACCCCCACCACACCTGCCTCTTCCAGCCCAAGGGGGGCGAAATCGCTTCCAAGGCTCCGTAAATCGGTATAGGATGGGAGGGGGACTCGGGGAAGGTGAGCCCGGGCTGGGCGCGCAGGCTGGGATCGCGTGCTCACCGCAGCCGGGCCAGATCTTCCACGTCCTCCAGCCCCTCTGCCGGGCTCCAGCCCTCCACCGTCAGGCTGGCCGGCGCCTCCTCGCCCTGTCCGAGGCTCAGCTCCAGGGCCCTCTCCAGCCCTGCCTCGACCTCATCCTCGGGCTCCCACCGTCCCCTCAGGGACCCGCAGGGCCCCAGGCTCCCCGCGCTGCGCAGACGGGTCTCCAAGGCGAGTCGGGGCAGCAGCGTGTCAGGGCCGGGGCCGGGGTCCTGCCGGGGGACGGAGTCCTGCGCCCAGTGCACAGGCGTTTCGGCTTCTGCTTGCCTGCGGGAGCCGTCCTCGTCCAGGGGAGACTCGTCGGGAGAAGTTGGGTCGAGGAGGGAGTCGCGCTGGGGCCCAGCCCCCGCTTCCCCACTCGCCCCGTGCTCCTCTCCGTCCTGCGTGGCGGCGGGGTCCACGGGGGCATCCTGGAAGCTCCCGTTGCTCGGCTTCTCCGCGGCCCTGTGGATCCTGGGGAACACCACAGCGAACTTGGGATCCGGTGTGAGGCCCCCGCCGGCCGGCGCTGGGCTATCCCGGGCCTGTGGGGATCCAGTGCCGTCGCCAAGGGCACTCGGCGGAGGCGCCCCGAGCCGCGCGAGCCCCGCCAGGCGCAGCGCTAGCCGGCGCCGTAGTCCCGGCCCGCCGCGGCGTCCCTCGCTCGGGGGTCTCTGGCACCCCGGCTCCGGCTCCTCGCCCGCGGCCTGCCGAGCGCGCCGCTGCAGCCACCGCACGAGGCCCAGCGCCCGCACCACGCGCAGGACCCGCTCCCTGAGGCTGGCACCACGGGCACCCGCGGCTTTGGGTGCGCTGCCCGGCGAGGACCGGGCGCGCAGCCTGCGGAGGACCACCAAGGCGGCCAGCGGCGCGGCGCTGCCCGGGCGCGCTTCCGCCAGCACCTGCCCTGCGCCCTGGCCGTGCGCACGCGGCCCGGCTCCTGCGGCCCCGTGCGTCCGCCTCTCCCCCAGCTGCTCTGCGTCGAGAGCCGCGTCGGCGCCGCTGCCGGAATCCCCGCCGGCTCCCCGAGGGCCTTGCCCGCTCCCCCGCTCGACCAGGTGCTCATCGCTGCCTGGTTCCGGCAGCTCGGGCCCTGACCGCTGCCCCGTGTTGATTCCCTCGGAGCTCGAGTCTGCCGGCTCCGACTCAGGCCGCCGCGACTCCGGGGTCCTGCCGCGCTGGCTGCCGCTCTCCCGCGCCTCGCGGGCTTCGCTGTCCTGGCAGGAGCTGCCCGCATCCCCGCCCGACGTGTTTCCACCAAGGCTAGGGGGCTTTGAGGGGCTCCGACGAGCCGAAGGTCCCCGGCCAGCTCCCCTCCTCCGGCGGCGAGTCCGCGCCTCTCCTTGGACCAGGCCCTCTTCCTTCTCCTCTGGGCACCCCCCAGGGCTCTCCCCTGGCCCCCGACCCCGCCGACCGTTGCCTCGCCTGTCCTTGGCCTCTAGGGACAGCCCCTCTGCAGGTGGTGTCTCATGGCCTCCAGTGGCCTCTTGGTCGTCGGGGTCCTGCCCTGCCGGGGCCCTCGCCCTGCGGGCCTTGCTGCGGCGGCCTGCGCGGTGGCTCCGTACGGGGCCAACCCCCTCTGTGCTGGCCGACTCCGTCTCCTGCTCCTCCGAGGCTGGACGCCTGAGTCTCGCTGGGCGCTGGCGGCCCTTGTCCTTGTGCCCACTCATGGATGGCTGCGCGGCACCAGCCTGGCTGTTGCTGTCACCCCAGGTCTGCTCCCGGCTCAGTGTCCCCCCCTACACACCCACAGGGCCCCCTCCCCCCTCTGGCATCTATAATGCAGAAGGCCGCGGGTCCTGACCCCCCTGGGCCAACAATGGAGCTGGCCCGCCTTGGAAAGAGGAGACGCTGAGGTGAGGCCCAGCGGACAAAGGCCGTGGACGGGGCAGTTGGACGGGGCCGGGGCCATTGCGAACCGGGCCAGCCAGGGAACCAGGCTTTGCCGCCGCGTGGCACTGCTAGGTGGCACGGCAGCTGTGTGAGTGCGTGGCCTTTTTTGTCCAGGGGCTCCAGGACACTGCCAGGTCGGTGCTGGCACACGGTAGGTCTCAGGGGTTTTGTTAGCCGTTCCTTCTCCCTGCCTCCCTTTCTTCAAAAGGCAGTGAGAGAGGTTGGTTTCCCCAGTGCCAGAGCTGGGGCAGGCAGAGCTGCCAGCTCCACTTAGGTCTTCAACCTGTCCTGTGCTGATTTATATCCCTTCTCACCTTCTGCTTACATGATGCAACACTGGAAGGAAATTTCCCCGTGCCCAGGTCCAATCAGTTCCTAAAGATTGACTTGCTGGGAAGGTCTGTTTGCGTTTTAACATTCCCCAAGTCTCCCCCATGGAAGTTAGGCTGTTTCATGTCTGTCCTCACAGAGCCTTAACGTGAGGTGGCACCCAGCGTTTCTGACGTCAACTGTGCTGACGTCAAATGTGTACCCCATTCTGGTCCCTCCTCCCCAGCAGCTCGGGAGACATTCCAGTTTCCACTGTCCCTGGAACGCTCTCCAGGTGCCCCCCCCACCTGCCCCCTGCCCTGTGTACCTCTCGTTTCCTGGAACCAGCCTGCATGCCCACCCACTTGGTGGAGCTTGGTGAGCTACTGCAAACCAGCATTCCTGTGTGGGCAGGGGCTGCTCACGACCTGGGGGAGCAGCCTCTGTGGACTGCACTGTCCAGGAGGCAAGGCATGGGCTCCAGAGGCCACAGGCTGGCGCTGGACAGCAGCCTACAGACCTCTGCCCACTATCAACACCGGCCTGGCAGTGGCATTCAGCAGGCTCAGGTCCCACGGAAACCAGAGCCTGGCACGAGGTCCTCCCACTGTTGGCTATCCATCACGCAGTGCTGAGAATCTGGTGTCCTCAATTCTGAGCGCCAATCCAATCTGGTCAATATCATGGTGAAGGAAGGCAGCCAGAGGAATGGCCAGGGGGCTTAAAAGTGCAGAGCCGGCAGAACCATATGAAGGGAAGCCCCTTTCCCTGCAGTTTCTGTCCACAGTTGTAGCCTGAAAGCTTGAGATGTCCCCCAAAGGCCGGCTGCAGAGAGGGGTCCAGGTGCGTAGCTCTAGAACAGGACTCAGTGGGGGCTGGGGGTGAGGGCCTGTGAGGGAGCTGCATGGTGCCCCAGTCGGCTAATCCTCTGCTTTCAAACTCCAGCATTCCATATGCGTGCCAGCTTGTGCCCTGGAATAGCAGCAGAGGACCCAAAACCTTGGGACCCTGCACCCATGTGGGAGACCTGGAAGAAGCTCCTGGTTCCTGGCTTTGGATGGGCTCAGCTGCAGCTATTTTGGGAGTGAACCAGTAGATAGAGGATCTCTTTTTCCTTTTCTCTGTAAATCCTGCCTTTCCAATAATAAAATGAACCCAGTAGGCTGTGTTTGCCTATTGGCTTCCATAGTCTCACACCTGTGCCCAGATACCTCAAGGCACAGGGTGCAGGGACTTCCTGACCTGGAGGAATGGGCTACTGGGTAAGGGTGTCTAAGGGAACAACTCCTGCCCTTCCTGGCCTAGCAGGATAACGGGCCCCAGGAGCAGGTGGCACTTATGGTGTGGGAGAGATGGGACATGGTCCTCAGGCAGGTGATGTCACAACTGACCTGAATGGGGGGGGGTCAGGTGGTATCCCCTGTAATAGGATTGCTTGCCTGCCCTCGTGCCCCTGGGTGGTGCCAAAGCCTTGCATGTGGGTTGCTGTGGTGTGAGAGCAGGCGGTTTGCTCCTCGGAGTCCGGGTTTTATTAAGACACAGAATAAACTCCCTGGGTCCCTGTGAACAAGCATCGGGCACTTGGCATGGTAAACTGTGACCTCTCCCAGCTCCTGGAGGTTCACTAAGGAGTACCACTTTATGGATGACAGCAGGAAGCAGAGCTGGCGTCCACCCTGGCGTGAGCCGTCAGAGCCCGCTCCCGGTCCCTCCCTAGTGCCTGCCTTCTGGAGGGCCTCACTGGTCCCCCTTACCTAAGCTGGGACTGGCAGCTGCCCCAGCAGGCGAGGGGCAGGGGCCTCTGGGACACCTCCCCTGGTGCCCCCTCACCCTGGGAAGGGGGCGATTCCATTCTGCAGGAGGCTTACACTTGAGGACACCCCCTCCCTCCTGCTGTGTGATCCTCAACAGCCTGCCGGCAGCGTCCCGCACATCCTGCACCCCAGGTGCTTCTTCTTGCTCACAGGTGTTGGCCTTCCTGGGGGCTCAGTTGAGCCCTCTTCCCCCACTGTCTGGGCCTCTGGGCCTCACCCACCACCCACGCTGCCCACTCCCCTTGGCTGTGACTGTAGGCTCTGACTTAATTCTGACTTAGAGGGAACTCCTGTTATCCCTTTTACAGACATGGTAAACTGAGGCATAGGACCAAGGTCAGAGTTCAAGACTGGGGACCTGTGTGCGACTTTGTCTATGTGAATGCTTCCACTTACTATCATGCAAGATCCTAACCTCCAGGTCGCGAGCCCAGGTGCCCACAGTGCACGTCCATGGCCCTGGGAGGCGGGGGCAGCGGTCCTGCTCCACTCCCGCCAGGCCAGCCCTTTCCTCACCTGTTTTAAAGATGCCGTGTCCCGAACAGGGATCATGACAGGCGTCAGCCCTCTTTCCCCTGTGGAACACCAGCCATGTGCTCAAGGCCTGGATGAACAAGGGAACCCTACGAATAAAGATGCTGCATGGTCTTCACAGACCTGCGTGCCATCTTTGACTTCCTGTCCTGCTCCAGCCATGAAGCCATGTGCCGTTTCCCCAATTCGGGGTTTGGGCAATGTCCCTGTTAGCGGACATCCGATCTCTCAGCAGCAAACTTCCTAGCACTGGTCCCCTGTGCAGCCACAAAGGAGGTGGGCAGCAGGACATACAGGGGCTTAGTCACAGCTTGGGACACCTGCCCATCCCACAGTGGTGGCCTCGGCTTCCTGCTAGGGCACCTGAGCAGCGGATGGTGCTGGCCCAAGCACTTGGCTTCCTGCTGCCCACGAGAGAGACTGGGATGGAGTTCTGGGTCCCTGTCTTTGGTGAGCATGTGGGGGAATGCTCTCTGCCTTATACATCTTTCAAAGACTCATTTGGAAGAGAGATCGCTCTTCCATCCACTGGTTCCCTTCCCAAATGACAACAGTTGGAGCTGGGCCAGTGTGAAGCCAGGAACTCCTTCCAGGTTTCCCACATGGGTGCAGGGGCTTAAACATTTTGCCATCTTCTGCTGCCTTCCCAGACCATTAACAGGGAGCTGGGTCAGAAATGCAACCACTGGGATTCAAACCAGTGCCCATGTGGGACACTGGCACCTCAGATGGAAGCTTGGCTCCTGACACTGTCCCCTGGCACCCCCTCATTGATCTGTGAACTTGGGGGCTCCGGCAAACGTTGCCATGGCCCATGGGGCAGAAATCCCCAATGCTGGTTCTGAAGGAGCAGGCGAGTCACATGATCTAATCATGCAGAGGGACTTGGCCACCACTTGACCTTGAGTGACCTCCAGAGCGCCCCTACCTGCTTCAGGCTTCCAGCGACTTTTCTGGCCTCAGTGCCCGGCCCAGGAGCCTCAGCCTTAACAGGGGTCCCGCTCCCACCTGACAGGTCTCCTGCTGCTCATTTCAGTAGCCCCTGCCCAGAAGGGCCCGACTTTTACACCAGCAGGTGATGACACCTGGTGCCAGGCTCTTCTCAGGCACAGTGGTCCTGAATGATCACCTCATGGGCTCCCAGGCCAGCCACCCTTGGCACCAGAGGGCAGCTCAGCTCCTGGCCCCCTGTCGTCCCCTCTGTCCAGAACTGTCTGCCCACCCCTTTATCTTCTGGCCTGCCAAGTCCTTGTCATCTCGCAGGTGACAACTTCACACCCTCACAGAGCTCTGTGCTGCCCTTAGGCACACATCTGCCATGCCAGGAAGGGCTGAGCACCCCACAGGGCAAGGGCTGCATGTGTCCTGGCCACCTTGGAACCCCGTGTGCCCATCACACAGGCACTTGGACAACTCCTGGCCAATCGAGGCCTCTGGCTCCGAAGCTCCTCCCGTGGGGAAGGCCTTGACTCCAGGCAGTGCTGTCCTATGTGACACCCACAGTTCTTTTTGGTGTGTGGGGGTGACAGCCAAGCCCTGGCCAGCAAGGGTGCTGTTCATCCCAAGAGCAGACAGGGGCAGCCAGGAGAACAAGGGACTCCCTCTGTCTCCAACCAGTGCCACAAGTCAGCTAGTCCTGTCTGTCTGTTCCAGGAGAAAGGCGAAGTGTTCGGGCACCGTTGTGACTCTGACACTTGAGGACTAGGTGCCCCGACTTGGGCGGGAAGCAGCTTTGTTTCTCACCCGCATGGAGAAACCTCTACACAGTCAATCGTGCAAGCTCACGTCCAGGGATGGGGCATGTGAAGAGGTAACAAGGTGTTTATTAAAAATGGTCTCACCTAGAGGTGGTGAGGTATATAATTTAAAACCCAGCCCACTACAAAAAAAGGGGGGAATGGAAAGGATTAAAACTGCAGCTTTGACCCAGGAACCTGACAGGCCAGGCCTGGCAGGGGTGGCCCCGGGGGCTTGGGATGCTCCTCCTTCAGGCCAGGAGCAGTAGCAGCAGGGGCGGACCTGGCCCCACGCCCAGGCCTGGCCCAGGAACAGCCCTCAGTAGTGTGTGCTTGTGACGTAGCCTCCACACTGCCTGCACGCCACACTCATTCTGCAGAAGA